TCTCGAAAAGTCTGCTTCAGAAACTGAAGTTCGCAAGCATCTAACTCGCGATCAATGTATAGAAATAAGAGCAATAAGAAGACTTGGCTTGACACTTCAAAATATATCCGTCAAACTTGGCTTCACAATAAGACAAGTACAACTTGCGTGTGCTCGAGAGACTGAGAATCCTATGTCTCGCAAAGGACCCTTACCAAAATTAAGCGCAGAACAAGTTGATGACCTTGAAGCATTCGTCCGGGAGTCACCTGAAAATCGGCAGATGTGCTATTTGGAACTAGCCACGGGGCCCTTCAGCCACTGGGGATGCAGTGAACGTCTAATTTCTAATGCACTCAAAAAAAGAGGCTACAGCAGATGCATTGCTCGGAAGAAGCCTCCGTTAAGCGCAGTGAACAAACAGAAAAGATTGGAGTTCGCCCAATTACATTTAGATTGGAGCGATGAACAATGGAGTCGCATACTGTGGACTGATGAAACCTGAGTATCGGGTGATTGTCATATGAAACCTCGTGTCACAAGAAAAGTACGTTTAAATTCTATCTAAATCTTCCTTTTACTAACAGCAGAGTTTAGCCTGATGATGAGTTTGATGAGACTTGTATTGTGGCTCGCCATGCTTATGGGAACAGCTGGATGTTTTGGGGATCATTTTATGGATCACAAAAAGGCCCATTCCTAGTCTGGGAGAAGGATTGGGGATCAATGAGGGCCTCATCCTTTTGTGAAAGGATTTTGCCAATTTTGAATCAATTTCACTCGGAAAATCCAGAAATTCTATACATGCACGGCAACGCACCATGTCATAAAGCGTACTCAACAATTGAGGCGCTGCGTGAGGTTGGAATAACGCCTATGAGATGGCCACCTTCCTCTCCGGACCTGAACCCGATTGAGTCATTGTGGAATATCTTGAAAAACCACATTCAGGTAAATAGTCCAGAGAAAAATGGGGTCAGGCTTGTGCGCTCTGCCACGTTGAAGACATTGCTTCAGGATGCATGGGACTCTATATCTTCAGAGGAGCTATTGTCACTAGTTGGCAGCATGCACGAAAGATGTGTAGCAGTGATAAAGGCAAATGGAGGGTACACAAAGTATTAGAATGGAGAAGACACACAAAACATGTAGTACGCTTTCATTTTAGTTGCGAGCCATACTGAGGGCTTCGATGTAGACTTTTGTAATACAGAACAATAATTTTTGAAATAGATGTGCATTTTTAGAGACTGTTAACTGACGTTTTTCAATTTTGAATTTCAACAGAGGACTATTGTACTTTTCCCATTGAGTTCAAAACCATCCCCATAATTTAGACTTTTACGGAATGTCATTGGATAAGGCCCCTTGCTTGCATAACTAGTCGAGTAATTAGACATGGGCCTGCATGAAGATCATACTAATTAAGGCAATAAGTATAGGGATCTAACCCCAGTCATTTTGACAATTTTACCTTTGTCACCCATAAGAGACTGTACATGAATAAGGGGGTTCTGCACACTAGTGGAAGTTCCAACATCTGTCCTTGTCTAACCAAGAAAGGGAGGATGTGAGAGATCCTGGCGCCAATAGATACCATTAGGAATCTATTGGGAAATACTATGTCATACCAATGAGTGATGATTTAGGTCAATCATATCCCATGGAGCATGTGCACATTATTCTAATGTGAACAGTTTATTGTAATGCAGTCATGTTACTCCCTTAATTACAACACCAATGACCATACCTCTCGTCGATTTTCTCTGGCCTCAGTTGACCACCAAATACACGGCCACGCCGATATTTATACCTGACGGAGGAAGCAAAACGTGGAGCACAAATCTGGGAGATAGCTCTTTGGGATGGATGTGAGAGGGATTCGGACAAGTTAATAAGATGAAGCAGAAAAGGGATACGTTTTCAACGGGCGTGAAATTTCGAATTTTGGCAACAGTTTTACGAATTGAGCTTTGTGCGCGCCAAGACTTCGCTTGTGAGATTGCTGCTGACACTGTAAAAACGAGGCAACGATGGAAGGTGTTGTGGTCCGCCTCCTGGTGGTGTTCTCTGGTATGGTTTGAGTAGCCTGGGCACCTACTCCACTTGGGAAGGAGGCATCTCAGATCACATTTGGCGCGGAGAAAATTTGAAAGATGATGGAGGCATGTCTGGATAACCCAGGGTTTTTGAGACGTTCCCCTGAGTGGGTATTCACGGATGAGGGTTGACTTGGGGTGAAGAAAAAGCCGGCATAACTTCGCAGTGACACTTGCAAATGAAATCTGAGGTGTGAGTGCTCTTACTTTGCGTTGAATCATCTATTCTGTACTTTTCTTTCATATTGTGTCATAGCTAGGTAGCTGCATACGCAATCAAAATCTGATGCAAAAAAAACGAAAAGAATTCGAGTTTGCGGCCGCGCCAAAGCGTCGGGTAGTTCGACAGTTTTTTTTTTAATTGATTTTATTGTCCTGTCTGAGTCTATGACTATGTAGGACACGCAGGTCCTCTCTGCCTACAGGCCAAGGATACCTATTCCAGTATTATATCCCCTCCTATGCCTCCCATACAGCTCCCCTCAAACAGTACAACCCCTCACAAGTCCTCATTCGATCATACACTTAGAGGATCCCTTAGCCCTTCATTATCTCCCCTCTCTAGCCAACGAAACGATGGCCATTTTGCGGGTGTATGGCAGCCGGGAAAAATGGCAAAAACCACTGGGTGCGGGTCTTTTCTAATACCAAAACTAGGACTAAATCAAAAGACATAGTGACTCTTCTGATGCGTTCGATGAGGCCGGCCAGCTGGGCGCTGCAGACTTGTGGGTACTTCGGAGAATTCACACACTGCCTTTCTGGCCTCCTTCCCGAAGGTGGTGCTGAAATTTCAGGAAAGTCTTCACAGAGCGTGATTGCTGTGTAGTGGCTTAGTGTAAAGGTTTAAGGAAATCAGAAGTACTTGAAGTCGTTAACACAATGGAAATGAATAATTTTTCCTTGGGATAGCTAACCTGCCGTATCGTATCCTGTCCTTTATGTCTTTCGCGTACGCTAGTATTAATTGTCCCCTTTAGCCATATGAGAATTAATCCTTTCTTCCGGCTATATTCCTTGTATCGTACCCCCTTTAATACCCCCTTAAAGTCCCCTTTCGTCTATCCAGGAGCGTTGCTTTGCCACTACCTTACCTTGGGGACAGAGTGGTCCTAGTGACCAGTCCCAATCCGGGCACAGCCCGTCACACTTAGTCCAACTTCTTTTGCGCCGTCCAGGGCGCTGGGGAGTGCCGTTGACTCTTCGACAAAAGAAGCTCTCCTGGCTAATCCGCCGAAATCTTGGTCTTGGCCCCCACAAAAACCCTAAAGTTGTAAACTCCTCGAAATTATCAGTCCTAGCTGTCATGATTGCGCTTTTCACATTAGTAGTAAATCGTCATCCACGTAGTGTAGCATGCAGAGTCAGGGAAATGAAAACAGGTTAGTGATAAATTAGACACCACCGATTGCTACACTAACCCGTAAATCACTCCTAAAAGAGACTAGCTACGGCGCTATCTGGAAGTTTGTGGAATTGGTTAATTATCATGTAGATAACTTGTAACATAACAATAATACAATAAGATACCATTCGCATCCCGTAACATTTATTGCCATAATCACCCAAGTATATTCTAAGCCCCCTGAGTAGTCACAACCATTTGATTGAAGATACCAAGTGTATACAATCATATACATCACCACCCTTCAATACTAGCATGGTCTTTGGAGACCTGTTTGTATAAAAAGCGTCGTAAATATGGAGCAAAAGATGGCTGGAATTAATGAGGCAAGCTCCTGTATGCAATTGGAGCATTTTCTTTATTGGTCGTCGAAGCGAGATGATGCGTGGTTAGAGATGGGTTGAGGACTTAGTTGATAATGATAAGAGAGGCATTGTCGAGGAGTCGTCAATTGGAGATGTACTTGAGGTTGCTTTCGACTTCGATTCGGATGCGACTCTTCTTGCCTATCCCAGATATACAGAGCATACTGAGCGATTACACCGGCACCACTGGAAGGTGAAGAATTCGTCTTTACCGGCCCATAGATATATTGCCCGTGATGAAAAGACATTCAGCTCAGTGTTTACCTGTGGAATTCAGCCACCTTTTTCATGGAACCTTCGGCACAAAAAAAATGGTAGCAATGGAAACTGCGTGCGCGGGAAAAAGTCTCGAAAAAACCTGCAGCCCCAGCCAGGCGAGGCCATGACATCGAGACCACATGAGGTGCGCATATGGATCTATATCTCCCTTCTTTATAACAGTCGAAGCCGACTTGAATCAATCTACCATCTCCGTATCGCGTGCTTGGTATACTCCGGAAACTCATCAGATGGTTCCTCCTCCATGATCAAGGGTTGGTGATGAGAAGGGCTCCGACCCGACCATCTAATCTGATGGTGGCTAGCTTCATGTTTGTGGTAATAGGGAGATATGTAGAGAAATGAGGACAATACAGAGCGCGAGAATGATTGTAAACTCTCATCGAAGTATGGATGAGGATGTTGCTGAATCTCGGCTCAGCCAAGTTCACAGTGAGAGCTTGAGGGTCATAGTGGACACATCTGAGAGGTGTTGAGTTCTCGTCCCCCTGGCATAAGGCGGCACTTGCCAATGGAATTTAGGGTCTAATTGTCTATGAATTCAAAAAATGTTTCTATCATGCTCAGAAAGATCTGATCATGCATCACGGCTAGTTAGCTGCACACTCATGAAAGGGTGCAAAAAAGTAAACTGCTAAATTCTCGCTCTATGGTGTACTCTAGCCTCCAAACTCAGAATGCGGCTAAGTCTAATTTGATGATGACAGTCAGAAGGTTCAATACTTACAAATACTGGGCTTAGAATTTCGTCCTTCAGCTAACTAGTTCCCATCTCGAGAAACTCGTCACGTTTTGTGAGCGAGACAAGGCAGCCGGGCAACAAGTGGCTCCTCCACTCTACTAACACACTATCTTGGCCCACAACTCTAATATTTATAGACTGCTTCTATCGAGTTTGCCACCTCTTATAGAAGTACTTGGGCAGCTTAACTTTCCACGTATTACTTCAACGTCAAAATTTTTATTCGCACTTTGTCTTTGACTGGCTATTGCGCTGTTTGTTTTTTGAAGTATAACTTTCGACCCTTGGCTTTTAGCATCCGCAAGACTAGAGAAGGTACCTGGATCATTCCGGTTAACCAAGTCCCTGAAGGCGTCGAATTCGCCACCTTCTGCAAAGATGAATTTGAAGATTTTGAGCCCGTTACCAGAATTTAATTCATGTAAGGGACTTGTGACAAAACTCCAAGTTGGATTTGCGCTACCTCCTAGTGTGAAGAGGTGTAGTTCTTCCAGGTACAAACCCATTGCCATTCTTACGCCCACACCTTGTGGGCCCATAATTGCTTGGCCCTTGTATAGTAATTCTTTCACCTGAACCTCCCCATCCATATCAATAGAAAGAGGTATGTGAGTTCGGCTCGGGGATATGCAACTGTTTTTTCCTGTTAATAAAACTAAATTCTCTCCAGCAAAGCGCCCTATGTGGCGTATATCACACATATTTGCGTTCAAAACATCCGACATCTTCAGGACCAATCTTCTTCCAGGAGCGCTCTTACTTAGACTATCTTGATTGGTTAAATAAGCTGCACATTTTTTGGCCATAGCTGCGTCATTGTCAACTCTGGAGGACTTGGTCGGAATCAGTTTCTTTGTAACCACAGACATTATTTCTTTATCATTGTAGATTTTAGAGCAGTAAATCGTAACGGAAATGCCAGTTTTTGGATTGCGATTCGGTGCCACGTATATTCTTTTATTGCGGAGCGTAGGAAAAACTTTTTTTCCGTAATCGTAGTGTAGGGTAGTAAGACCCCTACCATTGGGGTTGCCAATTACCACCAGTTGCTGTGAACTGAAAATACCGCTGGTCCTGAGAAGAATTGCGATGATGCAATGAGGGAGAACCATTTTAAGTTTGTGTGCGGGAAGACGTTGAAAGACAGGTGTTTCTAGGCGGCTACTCCGGTTTATTCGAGGCTTTGGTTTTGGGATTTGCAGAAAAGGAGTATCTTGCTCGACATGATAAGACTTAATCAGATTCCCATGATTGGGGAGACAAAACCTTTATTCTCTATCGTCTCCATGCGCCAAGATCTCCCTCAATTTCTCTATCAAAGTGTCGCAGTCAGCGTGCGCGTTTCGCGGCCTTCATGGTAGGCGACTGAGTCAGCCAGCGAGTTCGAAGTGCCATGAAAAAGAACGGAATCCATTTCATATGATTGCATGTTTCAGGTAAGGATAGCTTCCGGTAATAGTCCGTAGATTTTGGCCTTGGAATCTGAACACTTTTGGAACGCTATAGAGTTTGTATTGCGCAAGAAGATTAGTTTGACGTCGTGGCCAGATCATCAATTTGCCCTCTGTTCGTTTGCTATAACCTCTTTGGTAAAACATCCACGAAGCCTTCACAATAGAGCATACTCTGCTAGTAGAGGGAAAGGAGAAAGAAGTGATTAGGTTTTTGTATCAATTGCTTGTTAGTAATGAAGAATTTGACATGGCCTTTAGGAGCAGTTATCACTAGATTAAAGCCGCATGGCAATATGAGAGCGTACACCACCCCGAGGCACAAATGCTCCTGGTCCGCAGGCAAAAGAAGCTCAAATCTTCAACTAGAAGTCTTCACCCAATAGAATAGGAAACTAGTTTGTACTAAGTGTGTCTCAGTCTTACGGCGAGGGCAAGCACGCCAATAACGGCTCATCCAGTGGGACTATTCTCACGCCTGTCAGTGATGTCCCCTACGAACCACCAGCCCTCACCGTAGAGTCTGCAGAGCTGAGATTGACTAACAAAGACCTCACTTCGACGAGGATTCCCAATTTCTTTCGCCGTCTGTAACGTCTCCATCCCTAAGCACATTCCCCTATTACCACAAACATGATCCTAACTACGATCAGATTAGATGGTCGGGTCGAAACCATTTTCATTACCCAACCTTAACCATGGAGGAAAATCCATGCGATGAGTTTCCGGAGCGTACCTAGCATCTGATACGGAGATGTTGGATTGAGTCAAGGTGACCGCCGATGTTACAGAGGTAGATGAAGATAGATATGCGCACCTCACGTGCCTCCGGTGTCTCGGCCTCGTCTGACTGTAACTAAATTTTTTGGAAATTCCATTCTTTTTTTTGGGTAGAAAATTTCATGAAAAAGGTGGCTGAAATCCACAGGTAAATGCTCAATTGAAAGACTATCCATAAAGGCCATTATTTCAGAAATCTTTTTGCGTAACAACAGAGGATAGGTGCGCTATACATGGTGTGACCTGGATCAGAGAGGAGCCCAATATGCTAGATTGTCATAGACTCAAGTATACAATAAACAATACACATACAGACACAACGTCACTCCCGACCGAGACCGACTACCCCGCTTAGTCATCTAAACTGTTACCTCCAACTCCAAGATATCAACGAATACTTCTAGTCCCTAATTACGCAGAATTATAACACTCTAACTGTTCGCCCCAAGTAACTGGTCCAGCCGTGAATTTGTTGACCTGGTAAACCACGTAGGCAATGATCCGGCCCAACGCGACGGCGCCGCTCGATCTGTGAGCCACATCCGATGCAGAGAGTATCGATGGTATCAGGAGTAACCTGAGACAGAAAATGGGGTTGGCCCTGCGCAGTCAGAACAAGTCTTCCAGGTAGATTCTGGATGGCCTCAAGGCTAATTCTAATTGAGGTAAGAGATCGCTGACTCTTTATCCCGCGGTACACCTGCACAGAGATTACTGTTGTGTTTGAGCAAACGGATCTCACAAATGTCGTTGCAAATTAAAACTAGAGCTAGGGTATCTCCAATGACAAAGAGTCAATCAAAACATAAACAAGATGTCTTTCACGGGTTAGAGATAGACGACTAAAAATATTTGAATTGTTTTCCAAACGTGTTTGAAACCAGACCCCGGAAGTAAGATGAGATTCCTACCAGGAGTATCTGCCTTTGCTCACTCATTTCGATCATGTAATTTTCTATCGCTATCCTGATATCATTGATTGTATAGGATATCAGAGAGCCTGGAGCTAAAAATAAGGCTACGACGCTATTTTTTAAGAAATCTATTGTGTATGCAGTTATCTAGCTATGATACATTATCAGTCCTTCGAGCACACATTAGATGGCTCTTTTGAGTTTAAAGACTCTTGTACTTTGGATTTCACTTGCAGATACCGCTATGAGATTTTTTACTGAGGTCCTCACGCCGAGGCTTTATTCTTCAATGTTCACCAAAGGGAAGTCCCAAAATATTTGATCTACCTTTTCCTTTATCATCCAGGCACACCAGCTCCACGAGAAATATGATTTAGTCCTGCTTGGTTCGAAGCAGCAATCTCATGTCTCAGAGTTCAGGCAACACTCTAAACACCGCCATGGTTGGATGGTGCGGTGGTACATTGTCTTGGCCGGTCTTCCAAGTAGAGTCTGGATAGCTTGGACACAGATCCCACTCGAGACAGTAGATCGCTGGTTCAAATCCGGCAAAATACAACCACATTTCTCGCGGCGCTGGTATGCATGGATGACTAAGGCATGCTTGGATAACCAAAGGCTTTGAAATTCCCTTTGGTGGGTACTTACGGAGGAGGGTCGACTGTTTGTGTAAGCAAGCATACCTCATAGTGGTATTTGCAAATGAAATCCAGAGTATGAGTGTCTCTGACGTTAAAAGTATCATCGAACATGCATTCATAGCACCGGTCATATGTCATAGCTAGATAGCTGAATACACATTAAATGATTAAAAAATTCTCCTGTATCAACTGGGGTAATTGTCCAAGCTATGCAGACTTTACACGGATGACTAGCCTAGATGATGTACCACCGCACCACCCAGCCATGGCAGTGTTTAAGCGTCGCCTTCACTCTCGCCATCGTAGGCTTGGCGTGCACAATGCACTTCAATTTGTAAGGCTCCTTTCCCAAAACTCGAAATTTCACACCTCTCGATATTGTTCCCATCGTTAGCGTCATCTTGTCCAATCGTCCAAATATTTCTGATGACCATCCTAAAAATATGGATTCTAGATTTGCGTATCCCGCTTCGTATCTTCCCACAAATAATAGTTTTGTGATGGGCGTATGTGTAGTGGCCAACTAAAGCCAAAGACTGAGACAACGAGATACGCGTTGATTTAAATGAGAACCGATTAAGTTTTACTTTTTTACTTTGCAGGGTTTTGCACGGAACCCAATTTGTTGGCAATGAAGTATTGAAGCGGTCGCGAGTCTTGAAACATTGTCTCATGGGCCAACTTCTCTCGTATTGCGAAATTTGGCTGAACTTGGCTCTGGAATAATATTTCACCAACAAAGTTGGAGAAGACGCCAGTGATCGGTGTTCAGTCTGTGTACAGCAAGAGAATACAGACGGCTATGCTTGAGCTCATTATAGTAGCTTTGACGCCGCATGCGAAGGCTGGAGAATGGAGCATTCAAGTGATCTAATTTGATAGATTTATTGCACGAGATACGAATCCTACATCCAAGGGACATGACGCGGATAGTTGATCCCAGATTAGTCACTATTTTTTGTATTAAATTTTGACATGCGTATGCAACTCTCTAGTTATGACACATTGTCAGGGGAAAAATTACAGGATAGATGATCCCAAAAGACTCAACACTACCATTGTGGCCCACTAAGATGAATCAGAAAAAAATGAGGAAACCAATATTCCTAGTTCCTGTGCCCCACGAGTCGTCGAATCCCCCGATGTTTTCAACCAACAGATCAAGTTATGCGACTCCACCTTAACTAGTGCCAGCTGTTAACATAATTGCTGAGGGTATTTTCCTTCACCTCAACCTCAACCAGCCAGACAAAACGTGGCACGTCCTGTTTCAAACATGTCGGTAGCATTACCCGAAACCTTGGTCTTGGCGCTCACAAGCACCCCAAAGTTGAAAACATTTAGCCCCGGCATAGCCATTGATGGCCTCTTCTCTCTGTTGCTCAACGTCCCAACTGCCAGTTATTCTCCAAAGTGTAGAGCCTCACCCTGAAACACCAGTCATTTATCGTGCGCGCGCTAAGTCCAAGTATATTAAATGAAAGTCTTGAATTTGATTTCATTTAACCCGTCAGACACCTTGTGTGTCCACGCAGGTGACTATCTTCATTATGAACAAAGGGGAGAAACCGATTTGGTGAAAACCCCTTGATCCTGCCTGTTTAACTGCTATCAACTTGTCTAGTTTTTCTTCAAGAGGTGCAGGTCACACTATTCAGCCAGTGTGGATTTTGTCCACTCCCTCTCCAGATCGATTTATTTTGTCCGGCATCATTACCTCGAATTTCCCTGCGGGTCGAAACTCTTTATCCATCCTTAAATTAGTTTTGACTGTGTGATTCTAGTCACGTATTCTGGACTGTTAATAATTGCTTGAAATAACCTGTATTTAGCCAGTCGGAGAAAGTCACCTCTTCCATTTACCCAAGGCGGACACGACAAGACCATCTGCTTGACATTTTGCGACAGATATCTGCGATAAAATAATTTTGGTGTCCTGTCTCGGTCTATGGCCAGAAGGAATGTGCGGTTTCTCTCTGCTTACAGGACAGGGATACCTATGCTACTAGTACATGTCCTCCCATGTTTTCCATACAGCTCCCCTCAAATAATACAACCCCTCACGAGTCCTCATTCGATCAAACACTTAGAGGAGCTTTTAGCCCTTCAACATCTCCCATCTCCAGCCAAAAAAAACGGAGGCCATTTGCGGATGTATGGCTGCCGGGACAAATCGTGAAAACCACTGGATGTGGGGCTCTTCTAATACCGACATTAGGATTAAATCCGAAGACATAGTGACCCTTCTGATGCGTTCGAAGAGGCTGGCCAGCTGGGCGCTGCAGACTTGTGGGTACCTCGGGAAATTCACACTCTGCCTTTCTGTCACAAACCATCTCTGGGATGTCGCGTCGCGCCCGGGCAACCGGGTCATGACGTGCATACAATAACATTATTTAGGAGTTGTAATGGTTAGAGTGTTGTGATAGCAACAGTTGCATTCGGAGCACTAGTTAGTTGCTGTGCTATGGCTGTGGGCTACTACACCCTTGGTTATAGTATTGATGCTCGTGTACTTAAGGAAGCTCTAGGACTAGACATTTACTATAGCTTTTTGTCTTGTAAATTACTCATGTTTTTGAATCAAATCATTAATTTGAATATCTCGTCTTCATTATCAGCCTCTGTCTTCGTCTTCGTCCTCGTTCGTGACACTTTCTAGCCTCCTTCCAACTCCTTCCCGAAGGTCATGCTGAAATTTCAGAAAAGTCTTAACAGAGCGTGGTTGCTGTATGTTAGCTTAGCCCAATTTGTTTTGTGCCGTCCAGGGCGCTGGGGAGTGCCGTTGACTCATCGACAATAGAAGTCCTCTTGGCTAATTATCCGAAACCTTGGTCTTGGCACCCAAAAATAATCCAGTTGAAAGCTTCTCGAAAATATCAGTCCCAGCGTAGTCTTCATAGACCTGTTCCCCCTATCGCTCCACATCTCAGCCGCCTGTTCTACGTCAAGTTGTTTGTCCCATTATAGCAACAGTCCCCCATAAGCCAAGACCCAGGCTTTGTATTTTTCGACTTGATTTCCTCCTTGCGGGTATAAATAGCGTCGTAAATATGTAGTGAGAGATGGCTGGAAATTAATGGGGCAAGCTCCTGTATGCAATTGGAGCAACTTCTTTATTGGTCGTCGAGGCGAGACGATGCGTGGTTATAGAGAAGTGGAGGACTCAGATGAGAATGGTTAGAGAGGCATTGTCGAGAAGACGTCAAATGGAGATATGCTTGAGGTTGCTTTCGACTTCGATTCGGATGCGATTTTTCTTGGCTATCCCAGATATACAGAGCATACTGAGCGATTACACCGGCACCACTGGAAGGTAAAGAGTTCGTCTTTGCCGGCAGTAAAGGATGGATGAAGTTGTGAGTTCTTTTGATGGCTAATTGCCTACTCGATCTATTCCAGCTCCTAAATATCACGCGACTTCGCATATTTGTGCTGTGAAATCTAACGGTGTTGAAACAGTCTTCTCCATCTATCCCGATATCACTTGTGTCCAAAAAGATTTACCTCCAATATTTGTACCTTGCCGATATTCGTTCTCTGATCGACGTATATTTGCAGGATAACAGAGCCTGGAGACTAATTTGAAAAGCTGTGCAGTTATTAGAACGAGATTATGCTGGGCCGTACGTGCAAACTTGATGAGGCTTTGATGGGTATCATCTCGTTGAGAACGAGAGATTAATGTTGCGGAGAGTAATGAATTATTACCTCGTATGCTAATCTCTACAGTATTTCGAAATTGGATCTGGGATATAGTTTCACATCCAGGGCCGTGAAGTACGATGCGGGCAAGTATTCATTCTTTACCCCATGAACTTCAGATTGTTCATTGCACGAAAGTATTTTTAGAAATTCTTTAAGCGCGCGGCTGACACAAGGCTATCGATTATACACGATGTGGACGGCATGCATACCTAGGTGAGACCAAATCCATCTATGTTAATCAATGGCCATTCTTTCATATCCAACCTCCCTTTCACTTCCAACTACATCACTTGTACCCACCACTCATCCTACCGTTAGACGTATACTCAACCGGCTTAATCGAACATCTCTCCTTTCTTTGGCGCTCGACTGGCTTTCCGATGTTAATCTATCTACAACAAGGCCTTATCTTATCGAACCAGAAGATGATGAAAGCAGTGATATGTACCCAGCGGCATCTTCAGTAGAGGAATTGCGTGAACTCTATACGCATCTTGGGCAACGAAATGGAACTAAAAGAGATGTGTTGGAGCGGATATTGGAAGGCGATTGGCGCACAGGTATCAGTCTCTATGCGCTTGCAATGGCCGATATGCAGTTCATATACAGTCATCCCTCATCACAGAAGTGGACTGCGCTCAAAATTGTCCCTCTCTCTCCCTCAGCAGCGGTCGGGATAAGGAGTATGATACCACGTTTCCATCCTGCAACATTCCTGCGAAATCTACATCATGCATCGCTCCCAGATATCAAGTTACATCTAAACATAGACCGTCACGCAACTTTACCCCTTCTCATTCTACGCATCTGGGTGCTTGAGAGTCCGTATAGTACATCGCGGGCACTAGACACAAATTTAGGCCCAATTTCAGAGGCGAGTCGCACCTTCTATGTAGCTTTTCCTGACTTTTCGCCCCATATTTTCATTACGAGTGCCCACAATCTCTCCGACACAGCTCATTCGACCGCTATGAAGGCCGATGATAGCAAAAGTTTGCGAAAGTATATTTTACAAGCCATACCTAAAGCCTTCAGTAGACCAAGAGAGCGCTACAAGCTCGAAAGTACAAATTTTTCCGCGAGTAACCTTGAGGCCCTAGTCCAACATCGTGGAAATGGGCGCACCAATGCAGCAGGAGGAGGCTGGGGCATCTACGCCGAAACTCAGGGCACGCGAGCTATACACGACGATCCACTCTCCTTACAAAATTTGTCGGCACTACCTGAGACAGAGCGTGGCGGGGTTATTGATGAACCCGCCAGCAATCAGCTCTGGGCATCAAAAAATGAGAAGTTACCTTCTAAAGTCAGATGCCTGAAACGCAAATCTGAATCTGACGGGAACTCGATCTTGAACAAAAGACGACTAGCTAATGGCAGATTTGGCGATTCAGCCTTGCCGGATGATGGGCTTGGAATTGAGAGGCTCGATATATTGCTGAGAGAACCAATGCGTAATATTATAGATGCTACTGACCAGATAAGCAGTCATGTTGTCAAGAAAAATACGCGGGGCTACGAAAATCAAGGTCAATCGCCGGGCTCTAGTGTTGATGATACGGATGTGCCAGGGGCGGAAGACGAATGGCGCCCAGGGATTAAAATCACTTTTTCGGGGACTCATGTTTTTGCTGGATTGCGAGAATTGGTTGAATGTGGGATTGTAGATGGTCTTCGAATGCCAGGCTGGATGACTGGAGAAAATGGAGTTAGTTTTGGTGTCGTAAGAAATGGTCGTCTACTCTAATTCATAGGAGGTTGCTTTTGAGCTTTGTAATGTTTGGTTAATCTGGAGTTATCTGGAAAAGTTTGGAGAAATATCTCTTGTGGGGCTAAGGGATGGCATGATACCGATTGCAAAATAATCATGATGCTTAGCTAGTTGATGGCAACAAAAAAGCCAATTAAACAGCCTTTGATGGACCTATTACAATTTGGAAACGTTTCAAGGATTAGCAATCCTACGCTTTGTATTTTCTAGACCCTAATATCCTGCAATTTAGCAGTGCTCAGATCAATTTATCCACGGTGCCGATTGGCAGTAATAATCTTAGTCCCTAACGTGTGTTCGAGAATGAATTTCGCGTTTGGTCGGCATGCAATCAATTTATCGCCCTTCCCCTGCGTACAGTGCGAAGCCGTCTAGCTTTCGATCGAGCCATTCACCAATCTCTTCTACCATCTTCTTGGTCCTGAAAATACTGCTAGCATTACAATCAGAGCTGACCAGACTGTTTGCATCGATACTAGAGGCGGGGCCAGCGTTATTTTCGCTCGGCGGATCAGGAGTACTATCGGCTAGCGGGGCAGTAGGAGAGGAGCCGACCGCCACAAAATACAAGCCACATGTAAGTGCGCGTATGACCATTACGCCCTGATCAAGCTGGACCGTGATGGTACTGATGCCCGGCGGCGCAGAGGCGCCAGAGGGCGATGAGACGAGTTGGCTCGCAGGAGCGAGTGAGGCTGCCGTTGCGGGCGGTAGTGCGGCGACTATCGACGACACCGAGGGCCGGTAGAGTGTCCAGAGCGAGTAGGCCAGCGTAGCTTGAGTGCGAAGTTGAGAAGCCGGCATGGGCGACGCGCTTGCGAGAAGCTTGCCGGTCGGCGCGAGCAGCATCAAGGTGGGAACGGTCGCTGAAGTATTTTGGCCGAGGAATTGCGTGAGGTTACGCATAAGCAGCATTGGCGGTGACATGGCGACGCAGCTGCAGTCCCGCGGTATACGGCGCCGTGAAGGCAATTGATGGGGGGAGGTCAGGGAGCTATGGCCCGTTGGTTCAAGAGTCCGTACGAGGCAGCGTTTGCGAGTGAATTGCCGATCGAGCCCGCGCCTAACACTACGTAATCTGTTGCATGTATTGAAGCTATACAATTGTGCTCGTAGTTAGGGCGAAAATCAAGGAGTAATAAAGGCACATTGCGTCCATGGCTGCGTATAGACCTGCACTTTTCTAGGCCAGGCTACCAATAGCTTGTCAGCCTTTAAATCGCTTTTGGTAAAGCATAGGGCACAACTTAGTACTTTTCTGCAATTGAAGTGAGTGATGTTTAATTGAACTACTTGAGTCTATGACTACTTAGCACATTGGGCTCCTCTCTGCCCCAGGCCATACCTTGTACAGTGCTCCTTGCCTCTCATGTTTCTGAAATGATCATTGATATATTGCCCTTGATGAATAGCCATTCAGCTCAGTATTTACCCGTGAAATTCAGCCAACTTTTCCACAGAACCTTCTACCCAAAATAATTAATGGTAGCAGTGGAAAATGCGTGAGCGAGAAAAAGTCTCAAAAAACCTGTAGCCTCAGCCAGGCGAGGCCTAGAGAGGAGGGCAAGACTGAACACCTGTACGCGCAGTCCTCTACGAACCTGGGAGTGAAATATTCTCCCAGAGCCAAGTTCATTCAAATTTCGCAATATCAAAGAAGTTGGCCCACGAGGCAAAATTTAAAATTACTCCACCACGTCGTTTTTTCGCTCCCAACGAATTTGACGCCTACCTAAGTCTCATCAAGTCTACAAGTACGACCTAGTATATCCTTATTTCAATGACCACACCTCTCTCCGACCTTCTCTGGCCTCAGTTGATCACCAAATACACGCCCACGCCGATATTTATACCTGACGGAGGAAGCAAAGCGTGGCGCACAGATCTGGAAGACAGTTCTTTGGGATGGACGTAGGAGGCATGTCTGGATAACCCAGGGTTTTTGAGATGTTCTCCTGGGTGGGAAGTCATGGATGAGGGTTGACTTGGGGTGAAGAAAAAGCCGGCATAACTTCGCAGTGGTACTTGCAAATGAAGTCTGAGGCATGAGTGCTCTTCTTGTAAATTGAGTCATCTTTTCTGTACTTTTCTTTGAAATTGTGTCATAGCTAGATAGCTGCAAACGCAATTAAAATCTGATGTAAAAAAAAAGAGGCCTAGACACCGGGACCACATGAGGTGCGCATACTCATCTATATCTCCCTTCTTTGTAACAGTTGAGGTCGACTTGATCCAATCCGCCATCTCCGTATCGGGTGCTAGGTACGCTCCGGAAACTCATCGGATGGCATCTTCTCCGTGATCAAGGGTTGGTGATGAGAAGGGCTTCGACCCTACCATCTGATCTCATCGTGGTTAGCTTCATGGTAATGGTGATGGGGGCATATGTTGAGAGATGAGATGAGACAGACCGCAAAAGCGATTGGGAATCCTCATGGAAGTGAGGACATTGTTACTCAATCTTGGATCTGAAGACTCTACAGTGAGAGCTGGAGGTTCGTTGGGGACACCACTGACAGTTGTTGAGAACAGCCCCCCTCGCAATACTTAGATTATATAGCACTCTGATACTAAGCGGGCCTACTCAACCGCTCTCTAATATAGCTTTCAGACTCTTCATTTACCGATGCGCTTGACAGTGTGATATTAAATACAAGTCTAAAAGCGCAAGCTTCTCTACATAGATCCTCCTCCTCCAGTTTGCGGTCAAACTTTACTATGGTACAGTCTTAAATCATCAGTTTGTGGGCTTGATTCTTTGGTACTGGGAACTTTTGACTGAAGTTGGCTGTGTGTGAAAATTCCTCACCCAAGCTTGAAGAGAAGACTGCAGATTGGTTTTCGATTTTTGTCTTTCAGTATCTGAGTTGTCACAATCCATAAAAAATTATCATTAGTATGTTAGAGCTCAAAATCTAGACCTGTAGTTGTCCACATCCCCGAGGTTGACTGGGCATTTAAGTTTGGAAACTACGACTGTGGAAATCTGCGACGTCATTTTTTGACTCTTCAATTACATCATCGAAGAAAAAATGTTCAGCTCCATCCATCTCGCACTCTGTCTTTTCACTACAGCCGTGTCTATTAGCAGTGCCAACGATAGACCTAACCAGTGAAGTCTAAACGCCATTTTCGTCTCTTTTTATAGATTAGGTATAGAAAGTCGTCATGTCAATACCAGATAGTACTGCTCTACACAACCAAAAAATTCTTGGAGCATGGGAAAATGGAACCGATTACACAATTCTCAGTCAGACAAGTGGTGATACACATCCAATACAAGTCCACAAAGTGTCTCAGCTCCCTGAACATCTCGAATCACATCTCTTAACTTTGCCTCACTATGTAAAGGGAGACGTTTATGTGATTATTTCGATTTTATCAGGCAAACTTATTGCGTGCATGTATTACTCACGCATAGTAGCGCCTTTATTAGATGCCATGGGGGTTAAACACAAGGCACTATATACTTCAACTCGTCATTCTATAAAGGAATTTGCTACCTGGATATCTGGAACTGTTATCCTTCTAAGCGGAGATGGGGGAGTGAATGACCTGGTCAATTCACTTAGATGGTAGATTAAAGCGGAAATGATCGTCGAGTGTCTATACTGATTGATATTATTAGTCGTGTTACATTAATACTTTTCCCACTAGGAACGGGTAATGCGCTATTTAATTCACACATACAGGACGGAATCCAAACTCTTCTTCGTGGGACCCCTCGGCCATTGCCAAATTTTCGCGTCTCTTTTCAGGAGGCCTTTATAGACAACCAGGCGGTCAAGTCAATACTTGGAGTAGTGGTTGCAAGCTATGGCTTTCACCCCGTTTTGTTACACGAATTCGAAAAAAATCGTAGGCTCGACACAAGGCAATTCGATAAATTAGCCCAAGAATTGTTGAAAACGCCAATGCAGTTTGTTGGAAAGGTTAACGGAGAGAATATGAAAGGATATGCGGCGGTAACCATGGTTAAAAAACTAGATGATAGATTCTGTGTCTCAGTGGATAATAGCTTTAGACTTATTCATCTCGATACGTCAGATTTGATGAAAGGATATGTTGAGGGTTTAGGGGCATGGAAAGTTGACAAAGTTGAACTTGAAGGAGTTTGTGGAAAGATGTGTATCGATGGCTTACTTCTTGATGTACAGGGTCGAGTGGTGATTGAAGAGGTAGAGAGCGTTATCGACTTGGTCACATGAAACGGAATTTTTGATACTGGCTGACTATAATATGCACTTTTTCATATATATTATTAATTCTACTCAACTGTATTCCCATACATCTTCATCAAGGTTGAGACGAAAATGACACTTTACGAGCAGAGGTCTAAATGTACTAAAAGTGAATCATAATTGATTAGATTTTGTTTTGTTGTCGCTATTGGATTTAAGACTATGGGGCACTTTGAAAATCTGTGTCAGAGATTCTAGTTTCAGAAAGTAAGATTTTAAATGTAGTAGGTGTGACGGATATCAAGACGATTGAGTGTCTGCAGGCTGCGCTAAATAGCACTGCTCAATCATAACGACAGCGCCTAGCTTCGCTGATACTCTGTTTGGCCGTTGCCAGTGCGCGCAGCATCATTCAGAAATAGAGGCCGCAGACTGGATCCTCAAACTATGATTATGGAGAGACTGTTGATATTTCATTTTGAGTTAGCGATTAATAGAAACCCCAGGTTATAGCTGGGGAATATTAGATGCTGTGGTTGATATACTGGCTGCTCAGGATTTGAGGTTCCGTACTGCAAGTTTACAGCTAATGGTAAATTAGTCACTCTCATTAATGATGCAACGTCTATACGGAGAGGTTTTATCCCCTCACTTCATAGGTTGGTGATGCCGACACCGTCCAAACCCTCCTTTTCTTACTCTTATGAGCGCTAAGGTTAGACGAGAGCGATAGTAGCTGATAGGAAAGCCCGTTGTGGTTAACATCGAGCGGCAACAATAATTCAATCCATTCTGTTGAACCGCCTTGCTTTAATCCCAGCGACGGCCAACCACATTATTTCTCCCTTTTTTCGACTGCCACCAGACTCAGACTCGAGTTTCAGTGGCTAATCTAAAATCTAGTCTCGGTCCCTTAAGCTGAGCAAATCATCTTCAACAGGGTGGATAGCATACAAACAGTGGCTTACTGTAATGATACACTTTTTTTAGTATTTAAGTGTATATAGCTATCTAGCTATAACACATGACCAATGCTATGTTTACATATTGGATGACTCTTTTGATGTTGGAGACACTCACACTCTGGATTTCATTCGCTAATACCAGTATGAGGTATGTTTGCATGGGCAAACAGTCGACCCTCCTCTGTGAGTATCCACCAAAGAGAAATTGAACCCCTTTCATCAGCCATGTACACCGGTGTCGCGAGAGAAGTGGTTATGTGTTGCTGGATTCTAAGCAGCGATCCCCTGTCTCGGGTGGGATATGTGTCGAGGCTATCCAGACTCTACCGAGAAAAGCGGCCATGCCGATGTACCACGGGCCTGTCCAACCATGGCGATGTTTATAGTGACGCCCGCACTCTCGCAGGCGAAGCCATGGCGCACGCACAAGGCTCAATTTGTAAAACTCCTTGCCACAACTCAATTTTTATGCTCGTCAGGACTGTATCCATCCTCTGCGTCATCCTATGAGCTTGTCCTCGTTCCTCTCGCGTCCATTCCGGAGAACTGACTCCCAGATTTGTATGCCACGCTTTGTTTCCTCCATCAGGTATTAATATCGGCGTAGGCATGTATGTGTGGCCAATTGAGGCCTGAGAAGGTCGACGAGAGGTGCGATCATGGACGTGAGGATGTATCCCTCTTCTGCATCATCTTTTCAACTTGTCCTGGTCCCTCTCACGTCCATCCCAAAGAACTGTCTCCCAGATTTGTGCGCCACGCTTTGCTTCCTCCGTCGGGTATTAATATCAGCGTGGGCGTGTATATGATGGTCAACTGAAGCCAGAGAGAGTCGAGGAGACGTTGTCATTAAAAGGAGGATGTACTAAGTGGTGCTTGTAATCTTATGGGGTTTTGGTGTGGATTGATCTCGTTAGGTGGGAGAAATTGATTTGGAGAGTATTTAATCATTGCCTGTGGTCCAACTTCTTTGGTATTGCGGAATTTGACTGAACTTGGCTCTGGGATAATATTTCACTCCCAGGTTTGAAGAGGACAACGCGTACAGATTTTCAGTCTTGTCCTCCGCGATTAGAGTTTGTCGATGCGGCCCTTCACGCGTTGCTTTGCATCTTCCACTAACCTTGTCGCTTTTCTTCATCGTAACTTAAGATGACGGTTATTGATCCGACTAATGCCTGTATTCTACGCTGGCTATCGCCGGCAGTGCTCGATTTCCTTGCCTAAACGACGGGAACATTCCTGTAGATGCCAAATCCACTTGATTTGGCATACCTTTTTATCTGAATGCTCGATACTAGACCGGAGATGATCAGGAGTTTTCTAGAATTGAAGAGACCCTGCTAGAAGCTACCAGAAGCATTAGAATTCATCAGAAATAGCTGAGGAGATCATGGCTGGGAATGTGTGTAGATCCAACCGAATCCTGAGCTAGTCTACTAATGGCAGAAAGATAGCTGCTATCCTTTACCCAAAGTTATACTGATTTTAATACCTAATCTATGACACCAGAAAGTTGTTAATTGAAAAAGGACATAAATGGATAAATTAAATATGCCGCTAGGAGCATACATTCACATCTCTCTTGTCATCCCTGTCTAATATAGCCTTAAGCTAATGTCATTCACCCCATGCTTATTCTCGTCAATCGCGAACCCGACAGGGGGGCGTCCATGTCAAGGGATAACGAGTAAATCTCCACAAACAGCGCAGAACAGTGACTCCAGCAAGCGCATCGTTCGCTACGTCACAGGCCCTGTTTCATCTTCTCCCGTTCTTCTTAGATGTCAAGGAGTTGGGAATTGCCCAATAGATGTTTGATGGAATCCTAGTAATTATTGGCTATGACTAACTGCCGTGTTTGAGCGGTCATCTGGTGGAGAGAGTGATTAGCTTGTGAGATAAGTAACTGAGCCTTTGGAGTTTGTGTTTGTTGGAGGAAGACAAATGTGTCCGTATAGTTCTTGTGGACACAATGGAGAATATCCCGAATTATACACATAGTTATCCATCTATTTGTTAGTAGAGGATTCCATCACATTATATAGAATAATCTACACTCTTCTCTATCACATTCACATACAACTGTTCGTGATGTCACAATACCAACCATGTCTTGTATAGGTGTGTATAACTTCTAGCGCAGCTTATATGATTGGCTGGGCGAGCTCACAACATAACACTGACATGACATAAATCTGACAAGTGATTTGTTTCAAGCATCAATACTTCTCATTTCTCATTTTATTTAGGAGCTCCAGTACGACGTTTAATCAAATTCAAGCTCTAGTTAGTGAGGAGTGACGACTGCAGCAGTCATGTATTTGATAAACTTAGTCCGAAGACACATCCATTTTGCCATTCAAACTCTTAAAATGCGATAGGGCCTGGCCTTCACCATCCAGCATGATTACATACAGTACCATCAGACTTGAGTTGGCTAAATACAGCCAGATCTTTCGCATGGACACCGCATTTAGACGCTAATATAAATCTAGTATCATCCTCCACTGCACGCTGAAAGCGAGAATTCCGCATAATGATAGGTCTCGTGGGAACCCGGCGACTCTAGTGCGGTGTGCAGTAGCATCCCAAGCTGCCAGGTTGCGAGTGATGGAGAAGTAGTGATTGATTCTTCCTCTAGTTCCGTTGAGTCGGGAAGAACAGTTTTGGATGGAGTGAAGATGACAACGACGCTCCATACGAAAAAATGTGATACAGAATGCCAAGATCTTCATTGTTGACGATTTAGTCATGGAAAATGGCCTTTTTCGTGTCGACTCAGCAAAGCCATTATGGGTCCACCCTCTGTACTCCTATTTACTTACCAGGCGAGCCATTGAGGTGCAAGAGCTAGTCGACAGTGTCATGACATTGATCATACCTGAAGGCTAGGCAAGGCTAGGCCTCTTCTCCATGACTACTTTAGCCCAAACCTATCAGATGTCCCATGGCAACTTTCGCCTTAATTTTCGGTATAAATCAGTGCAGGGGGGGGGTTTTATTAGAAGGGAGATGTCATATCATATTTTGTTATCCGATTGGGACATGCAGATCCACCCTGACTACTGGCAGCAAGTGCCTTTACTGTTCAGCACGCGCTTGTCTTCTTTATGCTTTTTTTTTTAATAATTATTGTGTCTAGAACTAGATAGTCTCCCTGGACCGCCCGAAAGGACTGGTGTCTTTCTGGTTTGGCAATTTGGATAGCCACGCGCAAGCATTGAGCCCTCTTTCTTTTTTCATTCAATGCATGCTCAACCTACCAATTATTGTACTGTCGGGATTATCCTACGGATTTTGTAAGCACAAGCTTGGTGCAACGATTAGAATAGTTCTTATTCTTCTACATCAGGAGAATACATACTTCAACATTGTTCATTCTTGTTACGCCATTTCTGATTAGAAAGCCCTACCAAGCTACGCTTGACGTTATAGATAACATATTTAGACGTAGGCCTTATCAGCTTTCTGCACATTATCACTGCGAGTATTGCGGACGGGTCTCGCTGGGTACGAACTAGGAACCTCTGTTGCAAATGGGATAGGTACTCAAGCCATCCAGGCCCTATCAGACAGACCAGAATGGGCGATGAAGTGGTGTGTCTCTCACCCGCCACGCGGAACTAATTTTGCAGTGTTGCTAGTACACACATATAAAGAAGTAGCCCACACAATACTTCTCGATGTTGAAATCTCCGAATCGGATTCTAAATATCCACTCCATGTAAGACTACATGCAACATCGGCTTGATCTCCTCTATTTTGCCACCTCTCATTCCTCCTCTGTGTCAGGGGAAGGTCATGAAGTAGATTGACGAGGTCTAATCTGGTGATTGAGATTGTCTACAAAGGAAAAAAGGAGGCACCTATTGAGTCCTGTAAAAATATATACATCGTGAATCGCGTATCAGACGCGTTATATCACGTGACAGTAACTTCCCTCAATTCACTCTATCCCTTGACACTCTGAAGTTTGCCTCAATAGATTTGTGCTCCAAAGTTGAGGTCCTTTTGCGGGTATCGATAGCATCGCGAGTTAATATTTGGGGTTCAGAGATGAAGCCTACAAGGAGTCTAGTTATTGAAGAGAAAGTATTTCGATTCATACTGACAAAAGTGGTGAGGCATTCACTTAAATCCAGGCTTTTCAGAAGCCTTGAGTTATCACCTCGGGCAAATTTTTCTATTCTTCGAATTCAGACAGAATCTCAGCTGGGCAAGAGAATTAAACTCTGCATCTCAAAGCGTATGCCGCCAATAGATGTTCAGTTTCCGTAATCGACAGATGATCCTCGCTGGGTTGGGTGAAGAGAAGCAACATAGAAGGGCTGGGAGCGTCTCAAAGCATACATTCAAAAAATGGCCTATTAGACAACTTTTGTCAGATAGCGCCTGTGTAAGAGGTATAGATTCTCCCGCTGTGAAAATAGGAAATATCTGACGATCCTACCTTGTTTTAGATCAAATGTTTAATAACCCAGAGGATATCAAATACTTCACTCTGGGCTTAACCTATGCAAGAACTCTCAACAAGCAAGCATGATGCTTACTTTTCACAGACACTCTGACGATTCTCAGGATAATTAAAACGGGCTCAGGTCAGTTTTAAGCCCAAATAACACTGTATAGTGATTCCAAGCAAACACAACATTTTGAAAGCACAGTTTAATTGTGATTAGAGGGGGATCCTTGCTATCACCAAACAGATCAGAGTTGCGTTATGCGGGTTGCAGATTGGAGCAAAACAATTGCAGACCCCGTTCTTCACGTTCATAGTCATGTAACTAACGTTGAATCTTGAGCCACACAAACATGATTAGTGATTTGATATTTTCTTGACATTTCTGAAGCTACGAGTTCGTGGCATGTAGCTCCTCAATACCTGGAAGCTTTGAATATCTGTGCTTTTTGCTCAGCCCTTCTTCTACTATAATAAGCCTCATAAGTTTTCAATTAACCATACGCTAGGTGAAGCCCTGAGTACTCCAATTTTTCCCTCGACCCTCCCAACGACGAAACCAATGTATTTTGCGGAGATATGACAGCCAGAAAATATCGCAAAAACACAGGGTGCAGGGCTCTCATAATGATGACATTAGAGTCAAATCTAAAGATTTAGCTACCTTTTTAGAGCGTTTGTAGACACCGACCAGCCGTATGCTGCGGATGTGGGTGTGACTAAGGATGACACTCTACCATCGTAGCCCCTTTTTACTCATTCCACAGATAGTGTTTCAGGACAAATCGTTGATCGTGTTTAAAAGTCATGAAATTCTTAGTAGATATTGCACACTGTAAAAGCATATTCTAAGCGCGTAGTCAAGAGAGCTGGGGATTGCCGTCGACTTTTGGTTGAGAGAATTCCACCCGGTTGGCACTTGATTCAATCTTGTCCTCTTGAGCTCATAGATGAGAGCTAGAGGCTTATTTGTTGAAGTTGCTGGTAGATGCATAGTACAGCTCTCCACAACATGACTATACTCCAATGCTACGAAAGCGACTATCTCGCCAATGAGGTAAGAAGACCTTGGCCTTTTCAGGCTAGACCAGGCTCGGACTTCCCCAATTTGAACAGTTCGGGCCGAGAACTAGTTATGTTGTAAGTTTCAGTCACGAGACGAAATTAGGCAATGTTTGTGCGTGCTCACTAGGCTTGTGCAAACGACTGCCCACACCTGCAAATTCCACCGCCGCTGTCTCATCTTTCTGTACACCTTGTTTGTGGACAGTAAAGACCTGTAACTCCAGGAAGAGCCTTGATCACAACAAGGTATTTGATCGAACTTCTCTAGTAATCCTTCACAATTTTAGGAGTGAGCTTTTGGCCCGACCCACGCACAAACACCACCTGCTTGTGCGAACCACGTCGAGAATTCTCGCGCCAGCCGACCGCGGCTTAGAGTATGGGTTTAGGCCTCAGGCGGAGTAGACTTCTTAAGACTTGTGAGAAGAGCGCTCATGCCTTCCTTTCCTCTGGAGTTTAGGGGGGAAATTATGGTAATGTCACGCGCGCTAGCTTTAGATGCAATGACCAAGAACATGCATGATGGACCCAAATTTAGATTTTCCGCGGTGATCGGAACATAAACTATGCCAAGCTTACCCGGCGGAAACTCCCTAATATACGCGATATAAATCATGTAGGGAGATAAGGTGGACACCGAGCCAATAAGTGAAGTGAACTCTCAGCTCATTAAAGCCAAGCACCCTCTGGCTGAGGCTGGTACAAGTCAGGATACTAGATATATTCCCTCCTTACTTTCTTTCTGTCATGCGCTGCTTCTGTCGCGAAGCCGCGGTGTCTGAGACGATCCTGTTTTCGATGTTCGTCTAATGATTGCAGGCCCAAGGCCTGTACATGACCCTCAACATTTGCCGCCCAATCGTTCGACTGGTTGCACATTCCAAATTCAAATAGCAGCTTAGGTCTCTGATCGCCAGTAAACAGCAGCATCACTCTGAATGTGCGTTGCTCACCACGCTCCTTAGACCAACGTTTCTCTTCCCGAATGCTTATCTTGATCCGGCATTAGCGCCAGTTACTTCCGTAATTCTCAGCTACCTGCTCGTTAACATTCCAAAGACACCGAAACGAATTCACTCGCTACTAAATGGCCTCAAAAACAGAAAACGTCAAATGGGTAGACGTAAGTTACAATAACGACAGTTTCGCGCGCACATAAATGCTTGGGATTTGCTAATATCGTTCTCTCACTCCAGGGCCTTAGAGGATGTGCGTCCCTTTTAGTCGTTTTCACCCACATTGCTCGTGCTTTTGATGTCGACCTCTTTCTTCCAACATCCGCCGAAGGCGTAGCTCCACGCATCCTACAATATCCTTTCTTCCGAGTTTTTACCCAGGGCAGAATCGGTGTGTCCATCTTTGCGCTGGTGACAGGATATGTCTGTGCCTTAAAGCCAATTCGGCAAATTCGCTCAGGCTGTCCTGAGTCTGCGTTCAATTCTATTTCACGCAGCGCTTTTCGCCGTATTCCTCGCCTCGTCTTGCCAACTACCATCGCAACAACTCTTATTTGGCTCTTGTGCCAGCTGGGGGTCTTCGATGTCGCTAACCATGTACAAAGTGTGTGGCTGAATCATTCATCGCCAAACGCAACCCCTTACGTGGGACCCGCACTAAGAGATCTCATATACAATCTGACTACAACCTGGACAAAAGAGTTCAACGTCTATGATATAAACCAATGGACATTGTTTCCCCTCTTGAAAGGCAGCATGCTGGTGTACGTCATGATTGTAGCTTCAGCTTACTGCAAAACAAAGTATCGAATGATAGTGGAGTTTTCCCTCTTCTTGTTCTGTTACATCGCAAAAGATGGTATGTAACTAAAATACGTTTTTACCTGGGTGATTTCTAACGGTGCACCTGCAGCAACCTTTGGTATGCTTTTCTTCTTTGGCGCTTTTCTCTCCGATCTTTCTCAACATCCTTCCCACAACCATTGGCTCGCCAATCACAGATTACTATCATGTGTGCTCTCACCTCTTCTCATAGTATTTGGCATGCTTCTAGCCTCTTATCCTGAGGACAAGGCCGAGTGGGCACATTGGTCTGAAATATTGCGCCAAATGGCAGCCTATATTTTCCCCGCTGACAACGAAACACCTCGCTATTATTCCGGTCTAGGCCTGATTTTTATCTGCATGGGAATACACATGTCAAATTTTGTCAAGGATGCTCTCTCCCATAGATGGCTACTCTGGCTCGGCAAAAATTCCTTCGCTGTCTATTTACTCCATGGCACTCTCCTCCGTACCATTTTGGTATGGATGTATTTCGGTGTCTCAATTCCCGCCGACATTATTCATGAAGACGGTTCTTCCGAGCCGGGCCATTTGCCTTACCCAGGTCGCCTTCGATGGTACTTTTGGATGCCAATCTGGTTTTTCATCCTGTACTCTATTGCGAACTTATGGACAAAGTACGTTGACCCATGGTGCGCAAAGGCCACCGAGAGCCTTGTGAGGTTTGTATTCCAAGAATCCGCAGATGATTCTGTTGAAAAGGGTCTTATACCTAGATAATTCTGCTTATATTTTACGCCTGGAGTAATTCGCTCAAAATTTGGTGTCTGAGGACTTTATGATTTCTCTCGAGCGAGCCTGAAAGCAGGCGTTATAACCTTTGGGAAAAAAGACCAGATACGATATTTATGATTTAAACTGATATTTCACATCATCCATACGCTTTCATTTAGACGTATAAACACTTGGACCACTGTGTAGCAGCTACGCAGTTTATGCTCACATGGCCTATAATTATCTTCTACAGCATTCTACAGCATTCGACGGTTGCCGACTTCGAGTGTCTACCAAACCGATGGGTAAGTCTCTAATTTTCCCTAGCATTCAATATAATGCTTGATTACGGTGCAGAAAATTGCATCGTCAGCAAAACTTATCCCCTTTTTGACAGTCGATATCCTCCTTTATAGTTTTATGATACCATAATTATTCTTGCTTGCGACTTTCATACACTCTCACCCACGACTATGACTGGACGACAAGGATAATTTCGAAGGCTCTGATACTCCATATTTGGTAGTTACTGCGAGACTATTATGGCTAGTCACTTCAGAGGGTTTGATATACTGTTGCTCTTAAATGGGAGCATGTGACAAATGTGATTGTCAACAGTGAAAGCGTGAAGGTGTCGAGACAATTACTGCTTAATGTAGTTTGAGTAAGTCAAATTGCAAGGATCTATACATGGTCTCGGTAGACTCGGTAGGCCATAATCAGCATCCAGAGAAGGAAGGTGCATCCGATTAGTTGGAACGACCATGCCGCCTGCCATGCTTGACCTTTTATTTGCGTTAGCGATTGAATGGCGTTCTTTGAGATTTCCCAAAATATAGCTGTAGAAAAGGAATCTTACAAATGCTGTGCTGCTCTAGCCATGCCAATGTTTGAACACTCACACCCGTGACTGGCTGATTCTCAACATAAAGCTGACAATTAGTGTTGACGTTTCCTGAGGGACCCCACAGCTGGAGGCTTATCATGATCAGGCCAACCACCCATAGAATAAGTAATATAAATGACCCCATTATAACTATACCAGGCAGGAGTTGCCGTCGCGCTATTAACCAGAACATGATCAAGATAAAAATAACAGACAAAGTTCCAACAGTGACCCAGTATGGAAAGTACCTATATTTCAAATTTATAATTAGCAAATTCACTTCAAATAGTTAACCTCTCAGTCTCATGATGGGAGTGATCAAATCGAAAGGAATAATGTGCGTACCATGGAATTCCAATCTTGAGTTGGCGCTGTGTCGCGATAAAGCTCGAAAAAATTCCCAGAATCGCTGAGCTCCCAACGAGCATGATGGCCAGCCATGAATTAAGTTGGACAGATGGCCAATGATACTTGGTCCGAATTCGACGCACCACTACCTCGGGCATCGTTGATTCCGTAAGAGCCATAGTCAATCTGATTTAATCCAATCGGTCGTGGGGGGACGAGAGATGCGAAGACTGGAGATTGAGAGGCAAGTCGTCTTAGAGGTTTATGGGAGCGAAGAGCTCCGACGTAGTAGTGTCTTGCTGGTAGATTTCCTCACACAAACCTTTGCAGGAAAATGTCGGGCTGTGAATCAATGGCGTAGCCACATTCAGAAATCCTAATGCCCTGGTGATTCAGGTGAGGTACGTTGGTCGATATGCGCGGCCGCTCGCCGTCCCTTGTGGCCCCATGTAGGCCGATGGAGGAAGTGGGTCAAGGGGCTTTTGGGGAGAATGAGATTGGGACGGATTGCTTCGCAGATGCGCTGCAATTTCAGAGGTCAATAGGTTGTACCAAATAGAACATCGCAACTGTTGCGCTGGTCTTGGCAGCTCGGCACATGTTAAGCTCGCGTCTGGAGCTCAGACATCAGAAGGAATTATTCTTCTCGATTCGTGGCATCTCCGGAACAGCGCCGGGAGCGGTGACCAGGCTTGCCTTTCCCCAATCCAGCTTAGCTGTCGAATAACTGCACCAAGGACTAGCGGCGACACGCCTGCGTTGTTCATAGATTGCCCCTGCTGCTTTTTCTCTCAGCATACGACTCGCCGCAACTTTTGTCGCGCACTCGCTCGGGCTTGACGGCTAGATCAGACAAATATGGCCAGCATCATTTCCAACCTCCAGTACCGCCATCTCGGCTATCGCTGGCCGAAGGCTTCGAATCATGTCGATCCTATGTAGGGACCAGAGCATACCACGTTTATCCCAGACATGGTCACCTCTATCGCCTGCGGCACTCGATTCCTGGCGCAAGCCAATGTCGCCTATTTCCTGCCCAACCGTATCGCTGCATCCTGCGGGGCTTAGTCGTTGTCTGATTCAAGGCTCAATTTCATGGAGGAGCGTCGAGCTGTCAATCTCTGAGCGTTGGGCAAAAGTGTATCTCTTCGTCAACACCGTCACTCAGCCTAGCTCAGTCTACGTCTAGACTCTAATTGATTTGAGGCGCGAGGCTTTCTACCGCTTGATTATCGACTCGTCTTTCACACCCGACGCAAGCCACAAACATACAGTATCTAATAGCCTGGCCCGACTAGCAGAGAAATAGGATCGGAGACTAGGTGTGGGAACTTCCTCTGAGCTTCCATACCGCTCATCCCCGCCCTATCCCGCACTTCTCCACTAGTCCCTCGCGGAGAGCTAGACCCGTTCTTCTGAACTCTACGCAGAAGGGATTAGACGCCTTCAACTTGAGCATTATCAGTATCAGTAGTGTCTCGGGTGTTAATAAACCTGGTCATACGAGCGATAATTGTTTTATGTAACAAATAACTGAATTACCCTGCCCAACCAGGCCAGAACACCGACCGAAACTTGCACAGTTTTTGACTAATAAGGCAAGTTTGTTTACGTTCAATACCTTAGTATTAGTATTATACATGACGTTGAAGGCTACAATTTCATCGTAATTTCATATACGTATTTTTCATGTATATTAATCGGCATTGAATTTTTATAAGGGTATGACAATAAATACATGTGGGAATATTAACATTAATATCATATCCAAAACTATACAAAATGAAACAGAGCCAGAGATTTGTATGTTTAAACTTCAAGTCTGTTGTGGTCTTAGACTCAGGAGGGACTAATCAAATTATTATCGTGTCGGCATGAAGTAGCTTGCTGTTGGTAGAAACAGCATATTTCCGAGAATTTATTTATTTGATGTTTAAATCTTCTAGGGGGTTGTAGGTCCAACTCCTATCAGTAGCGCTCCTATGAACCTCCAAACGTCACCGTTGGGCCTGCAGAGAAACAAATTAGGTCCAATGTGTCAACAATGGACCCGCTCTTGGATCAGACAATGATATTCTCTAGCACATAAGATTGTGCGTGGAGGCTAAGCCAGGCTATTTTAGGGGCCTATCTTCAACACCTGTCAGTGATGTCCCCTACGAGTCTCCAGCTCTCATTGTAGAGTCTGCAGAGCCGAGATTGAGTAACAATGTCCTCACTTCCATGAGGATTCCCAATCGCTTTTGCGGTCTGTCTCATCTCATCTCTCAACATATGCCCCCATCACCATTACCATGAAGCTAACCACGATCGGATCAGACTATTGGGTCGAAGCTCTTCTCGTCACCAACCCTTGATCACAGAGAAAAATCCATGCGATGAGTTTCCGGAGCTTACCCAACACCCGATACGGCGATGGTGGATTGGATTAAGTCGGCCTCGAACGTTACAAATAAGGGAGATATAGATGAATATACGCACCTCATGTGATCCCAGTGTCTAGGCATTGTCTGGCTGGGGCTGCAGGTTTTCCAAGACTTTTTCCCGCTCACGCAGTTTCCATTGCTACCATTTTTTTTTTGGGCAGAAGGTTCCGTGGAAAAGGAGGCCGAATTCCACGAGTAAATATTGAGCTGAATGGCTATTCATCAAGGGCAGTATATCAATGATCTTTTCAGAAACATGAGAGGCAAGGAGAAGGGTACAATGTGTGGTCTGGGTCGGAGAGGAGCCTAATCTTTTACACAGTCATTGGCTCAAGTAGTGCAGTAAAAAACACACATACTCCCTGTCAAGACCTTCGCTACGCTACCATAACTCTAAAGAGCGAGTGTTGGGCCAAAGTGAACCGATATGAGAAAGGCAGGGATTTCTTCCGTGGCCACACACAAGCCCCACAGCGCCCGGCTGACCGACCTCTTCGAGCGATTCAGAAGGGAAGCTACATTCATTCATTCAGTTGGTGTCTGTGTTAGCTGCTTGATGCGAGTTTTCTCGGTCGCCCAACATCTCAATATGGTCTTCGTCTCACCAGAGGGAGACAAATAAGTGTAAGAATTTATCCTCGACCCATGGTCAGATAGGGTCTATGAGCGGCACTGCTTGAAGGGAGCTGTGAAGAAGACGAAGAAGGGCAAGTACTACGTGAGCTATGGATATTTTTGGTCCTGGGATGGAGAGGGGGTATATGGCCTGTGTTGTCTCAGACCTGGGAGGATTGATTTGGCTTTTTCCAGAAATTTATCAGTACGTCTAACGAGGAAGATGAACCTGCACGAGTTGATGAGACGAGGCGAAACTGGGGTTAGGAGGAAGAGTCAAGGGCTCCCGCGCGACGAAACCAGGTTCTCTTCACAGCCAAATCAGGCATTATTCGACACTGAGGTGAAGTCTAAGGTGATACAGTCATTCAAATGGGGCGAGATTCGAGTCAACAACGATCATTGAACTGGACCAACACTCAAGATCAAGCGACACAGAAGATGCCAATTGCTCATGCCGTTAATCGACAGAAATACAAACAAATCAACCATTGAAACCTCAATATCTTATTCCGCATCGCCATTATCACTGTCCTTCAACCAAATAACCTTGGCTTTGGCTTGATCCCATCGCGCATCTGAATGTAGGACTTAGTTATACCGAGTCGTATCATTCCACCCGGCACTATATGTCCGAGGGCCTATAACACTAGGGCCTAGACTCTATGGTGGTAGGCTATTTCGAATACAGCGAGGGCATCGCGCGCTACTTCGGTCGGCGACAGACAGTGAACGTCAGCGATACGCGCTTTCTTCTACAGAGCCTTTTGGCCGTGCAGCTCGCATCGTAGCTCGCTCCCAAGTACATTCGAAGAATTGCATGATCGTGGATTAATGTCGTCGCGTAGACGGCACACGAAACAATGGAGCAGGCGTTGCAGTGGCATTCCATCCGGCACAATCTCCCGAGCAAATTCTGGATAACCGTGGTAATATTCCAGTTAACGCTGGGAGACAATGATGCGATTATTTCAAGTTCCAAGCGAAAAATTGGCGCTGATCGTGGAGAACTAAAATTGATGCTGGGTCTTCCCTGTGATGGGTCTTTACGAATAAATATTGGCGCTGTGATGCGGGTAAACGCACTTCATTATGGTACATGCTAATGAAATCAGAAGTCAAAGACTGAATAATTATCAGTTGTGTTGACTAGGAAATTAGGGGTGAGATACTTACCCAGGGAGAAGTTCCATCAAATATCCCAGTATTGAAGAAGTCGGTCCACGATGCAATGATTCAATGATTTAAACTTTAACAAAATTTCAGTCTTATCATGATTTCTTCCGGCCAGATGACCAAGTGTTTTGGTTTACTATAGTGCTTGAGTCAATGACTGTGTAAAAGATTAGGCTCCTCTCCGACCCAGACCACACATTGTACCCTTCTCCTTGCCTCTCATGTTTCTGAAAAGATCATTGATATACTGCCCTTGATGAATAGCCATTTAGCTCAATATTTACTCGTGGAATTCGGCCTCCTTTTCCACGGAACCTTCTGCCCAAAAAAAAAATGGTAGCAATGGAAACTGCGTGAGCGGGAAAAAGTCTTGGAAAACCTGCAGCCCCAGCCAGACAATGCCTAGACACTGGGATCACATGAGGTGCGTATATTCATCTATATCTCCCTTATTTGTAACGTTCGAGGCCGACTTAATCCAATCCACCATCGCCGTATCGGGTGTTGGGTAAGCTCCGGAAACTCATCGCATGGATTTTTCTCTGTGATCAAGGGTTGGTGACGAGAAGAGCTTCGACCCAATAGTCTGATCCGATCGTGGTTAGCTTCATGGTAATGGTGATGGGGGCATATGTTGAGAGATGAGATGAGACAGACCGCAAAAGCGATTGGGAATCCTCATGGAAGTGAGGACATTGTTACTCAATCTCGGCTCTGCAGACTCTACAATGAGAGCTGGAGGCTCGTAGGGGACATAACTGACAGGTGGTGAGAAAAGTTCCCTAGATGTTATCAAGTCTACGGGAACGATGGAGTGTATTCTCACTCGTATGTCCACATCTCTTGTTGACCTATTCCCTGGCGTCAGCTGGCCTATACAAATATACCCACATCGTTGTGAGGTGCTTCAGGTTAGAAATCGCCGCCCAAATTATTAATATTAGTGTTGTTATTGTTCTTTCTCAGTTGAAGTCTACATAGGACACGTAAGTCCTCTTTGTCACCGGCCAAGAGTGGCTTTGCTACTAGTATACCCTCTCCTATGCTTTCCATGCAGCTTCCCTCAAACCGTACCGCCCCTCACGAGTCCTCATTCGATCATACACTTAGAGGAGCCCTTTGCCCTTCATTATCTCCCCTCTCCGGCCAACGATGGCGATTTGCGCGTGTATGGCAGCCGGGAAAAATGGCAAAAACCACTGGGTGCGGGTCTTTTCTAATACCAAAACTAGGACTAAATCAAAAGACATAGTGACTCTTCTGATGCGTTCGATGAGGCCGGCCAGCTGGGCGCTGCAGACTTGTGGGTACCTCGGAGAATTCACACACTACCTTTCTGGCCTCCTTCCAACTCCTTCCCGAAGGTTGTGCTGAAATGTCAGAAAAGTCTTGACAGAGCGTGATTGCTGTATAGTAGCTTAGCCCTACCTCGTTTGTGGCGTCTGTGGTGGTAGTTGATGGGGCAAGCTCTCGTTTCCAATTGGAGCAACTGCTTTATCAGTCGTTGAGGCGAGATGATGTGTAGTCAGAACGGCATTATTGAGGAGCCGTCAAATGGAGATATGCTTGTGTAGGCTTTCTACTTCGATTCGGATGCGGAGCATCTTGGCTAGCCTAGATATGCAGAGCTTACCGAGCGATTAGGCCAGCATGGCTGGAAGATGGAGAATTCGTCTTTGTCGGCAATCGCAGCGCATAGATCTTGTGGCCAAGGCCTTTGGGCCAGATATGGATGATGGCAGATTAGATGGATAAAATTATGCTGACTACAGAAACAATTTCGACATGCAGAGATTTTGGAGTTTGTCTAGGAATATTTTGAGTTCAAACCGATTTTGGGCCCCAAGCTTTTGCTTGCGAGAGTACTTATGTCACTATGAACACGATCATGGTTGAATGGTGCAGTGGTACATCTTTTTTTCTAAGCAGTGGTACATCATCTAGGCCGGTTTACCAATTCAAGTTTAGATAGCGTGGGCATTTACTCGCTTGAGACAGGAGACGCCTAGTTACAATCCAGCAACACTTCCTCACATTTCTCGCGTTGATGGTATATTTGGGTGAAAATGGCATTATTGGACGACCACACGTTCTGAATCTTTCCTTGGGTGAGTACCCACGGAGGAGAATCGATTGTAAAAATAAACTTATATCTCATGGTCGTATTTATGGATAAAATTCTGAATTTGAGTGTCACTGAAATCAAATGAGTTCGCTAAATTTTATATAAAGCATTGTTCATTGCCATAGTTAGATTGCCGAAATATATCTCACATTATGAAAAGAACATATAGGACTGGAATACTAAACGTCGTTTCACGTAAAAAAGTGCTATGATGGGCTTAGATTAAAGATATTTTTAGCTAGTGAGCGATAACATCTAACTGCAATTACAATATTGTACTTCTTATATTAAATGGCATAAGTCTGGTATTACTTCGGCGCCAATTGAGCCCAGGCGAGAAATGAAGATCATCTGCATACCCTGAAACCGTGGGCAGTAACTTTGTATCTGTTCGCCCGCGGCATAGACACCTATAGCCAGAGAATAATAGAAAATGACGACAGAGCTCCTGATTTGGAACTAGGAGGAGCTTCCTATTACTGAGTTTAAACCTGTGGTATCGCTGGGTGGGCCACATTGCCAATGTCGAAGCTGATCGTCATAGAGATAAGATCGTCGACTTTCGGTGCGAAATGGGCTGTTATTAAAATTACTTTGGCAAGATACTCTTATCTGGGACTATGCATATATGAGATGCTGCCCAAATATTATTGACAGAATCACTTAGTCGAAGTCTCTGAAGATAAAACCCTGCTGGGCGCCTTCATTACCTTGCTCACCGACCTGGTGATTTGGAACTCCAGAGACCTTTCGGTGCCTCCCGAATTATTTGCGGCTGTAAGTTAGATTCAGCTTTGATTTCCGTGGGAATCAAACTCTCTTGAATCCCGCGTACGATCTGAATTTTATTTACGCTAGCTGGAATGTTAGCCACATTGATTTTGCTATCTACAGCAAGCTGCGGCTCTTTCGAAGAATTTTGAAGCGGTTTCGCACCGTGGGCAGGGTTATGAGAAAATGAGCCATCCATGGTACCGCTTTGGCACTCACGTAACTTATTAATAGCCCTTATCGTATCGATTGCCTCATGTAGAGTCCTACGCGCGTTGAAATTCAACTTTACCGTAGGTAACAGATCATTGCCTTTTTGAAGTCCTGCAACAAACGGATCAGATAATGCCTGATGTGCAGTCAAACGTTTCGTCGGGTCTATTGTAAGACAGCGTTTGATAAACTCTCGGGCTTGGGGGCTCACATTGCGCCAATATTCAATAGGTGTGAAGCTGAAGTCGGCGTCTAGTATTGCCTGCATTTCCTCTAGGTTTGAATCTCGGTCAAATGGTGTGTAACCGCAGAGGAGAAAGTATGTTATAACGCCAATTGACCAAATATCCACGGATTTCCCATAACCAGTCTTTTTGAATATTTCAGGGGCCATATAACCTGGAGTCCCGCAAGTCGTAGTTAGAATATGAAATTGTTCCTCATCTATCACTCGGCTAAGACCGAAATCCGCGATAAGTAAATCAGCATTATCTTCGGGGGTTCTGAACAAAAGGTTCTCTGGCTTGAGATCCCGATGCACGATTCCGTGATCGTGTAGATATGCTACGGCTGATAGGGCCGCGCGAACGAGATCGGCGGCGTCAGACTCAAAATAAGATCCCTTTCGGCAAATTCGATCGAACAGCTCGCCGCCGAGGGCGAGTTCTGTAACAAGATATAAGTTATTGGATGTCTCAAAGTAGTCGACAAGCGTAAGAATGTTCTGATGACCCATAGAGACACGTTTAAGAACGGCTATTTCATTGCGTATCTGTAGATGCAGTTTAGACTTGGCGTGTTGAATGAATTAAGGAAAGACCAACCGTACGCTCTTGACCAGAGACTAGTCTTTTGTTGATAACTTTAGTAGCATAATAACGGCTTGTTTCGATGTGGACACATTCTTTTACAACAGAGTATGAACCTGAGCCAAGCGTCTTTCCAATCTTGTATTGACAAGCATGGATTACTGGGTTACTTTGTTGTTGAACCTTGTGGGGATTTTCAGAGCCCATGACGGTCATGTTACTGTTTGATGAACAAAAAAACGAGAAAGAATTATGGAATTGGCTGAAACCTAGAAATTATTACTTTTAGACTTTTCTAAATTAGCACTATGCTGAATTTACTCGAGGTAGAGATCGTCCGAAATATTCAAAATTTTATACTATTACCCAGGAATAGCGATAATTATTTTCAACGACATTTTGAAAGTTGAACGAATTGTGACCATCGATCATGCTTTTTCATGTGCTTGTCAGGCGAAATATAGTTGTGATCGTCTCCAGTATGAAGTACGTTCTAGTCAGGTGCCTCAATGGTTATTTAAGCGTGGGCAGACATACAAGCTATTTAACTTTTAGCTCCAGGGCTGGATCCCTCATACACAGCTAAATAAAGATGAGGCGAATACAATTTTTTTTTGAGATAACTTGGGTAACTGACAAACGTGCTTTCCAAGTAAGGTCTCTTGCTCACAGGAAGTTTCTTCCCAAAACAAGCTTTAATTTATCGGAAGAATCCATTAACACCCATTGCTTGGTGATCACTACTCCACATTATACCAGGCGATTATCTCAATCTTTTCATCGCAAAATTTAAGTGTTTCTTACCCAACCCTTGAAAACTTATCATATGTTCCTGGTTGTGAGAGCGCACGTTGGAAAATTTTCTAAATTAGCCATTTAATCAATTTCATTCAGTCAATACCCTCATTTTCCATCAGTGCGATCCCAGTCACAGTGGCGCGAGGAGGCTTAATCCGTGCTTTATGATGGGTAATCAGAATCGTCCGGCTCCACTAAAATGCGACAGGTGTCACTTACCTTACAATTTTGCACTGCAACGAATTACTATAGATTTTTGGGATAAAGACCTAAATCCTGTCAGTGTTGTGCTCCAAGAATATGAGGATAAAATATCCACCAAGATCTAAGAATTGATGCCGGCAAAGACGAATTCTTCACCTTCCAGTGGTGCCGGTGTAATCGCTCAGTATGCTCTACATATCTGGGATAGCCAAGAAGAATCGCATCCGAATCGAAGTCGAAAGCACTCACAAGCACATCTAAAATCGACGACTTCTCGTCAATGTTGGATCTATTATTCTCACGCGAGTTCTACACCTCAATCTCACTACACCACCTCGCCTCGAATATCGATAATGGCGTAACTCCAATTGCAATCAGGTATTTGCCTCATCGAAAACTGGCCATCTCCCACTACACATTTACGATGCTATGTGTATCCGCGAGGAGGAAATTAAGTCATAATCCACAAAGCTCAGGTCTTGGTCTATGGGGGACCGTTGCTCTAATGGGGCTTCACATCTTGAGGGAGGACAGGCAACTGGGACGTGGGACGAACGAGTGATGAGGTCACAAATGGCCGTGCAGGGACGCACATTTTTCGAGTGTTTTCGACTTAAGGGTGTCTGTGGGCGCCGAGGCAACGATTTAGGATAGTGCTACCGACACTCTAAAAACTGGCAACGATGGAAGGTGTTTTGGTCCGCCTGCTGGTCGTCATCTCCCCGAATTATAGTTAGGTAGCCCATACACCTACCTCACTCATCAAATGGGGGACTGTGAGGCCATATCTCGCGCGGCGGCTATATACAAGATGACAAAGGCATGTTAGCGTAGCCAAAGATTTTTCCTGTTTTCCCTTTGGTGGATACTAACGGTTGAGGGAAGGGTGAAAGTCCCTAGCACCAAGGTCTCGAGTGGTATCAGCGAATGCACCCACTACATGAGTAGTCCAAATTTCGAACTGAGTTATCGTCGTATATAGTTGCCGGAGAAGCTAGTCTTATCCGTGTCATGCTCTTTGAGTGCAGGGCTTGTGCTCGTCACGAATAAACTTTCATTCATTCATTCATTCTAAGATTTGATTATGAAGAAGGGTAGATATGAGAGTAGAAGTTGGATAGTGATCGAAATGAGCAGTTTTGGCAAGTCTTCAGTGCAAATTCCAACTTGCAGAGGTACCACGATTATAAGTTGTCGCTATCAATTATATGCATCCCAAGTACGTTCCGAGGGCAATACTGAACACCTGTACGCGGTGTCCTCTACGAACCTGGGAGTGAAATATTCTCCCAGAGCCAAGTTCAGTCAAATTTCGAAATATCAAAGAAGTTGGCCCATGAGGCAATGATTCAAAATACTCCACCACGTCAATTTTTCACACCTAAAAAGATCAAATTCTATCCAAGCCTCATCAAGTCTACAAGTATGACCTGGTACATCCTCATTCCAATGACCACACCTCCTATCGACTTTCTCTGGCCTTAGCTGGTCGCCAGATACACGCCCACGCCGATATTTACACCCGACGGAGGAAGCAAAGCGTGGCGCACAAATCTGGAAGACTTTTCTTTGGGACAGGAATGGAAAGGATCTGGACAAGTTCACAAGATGATGCAAAGGAAGGACATAACTTCGAAGGGCGTGAAATTCCGAATTTTGTCAAGGAGTTTTACAAATTAGGCTCTGTGCGCGCCAGAACTTCGGTTGCAAGAATGCAGCTGACACTATAAACGCAAGCCAATGATGGAAGGTGCTGTAGTCCGATTCCTGGTGGTGTTCTCCGGTATAGTTTGAGTAGCCTAGGCACCTACTCTACATGGGGAGGAGAAGCATAAGACCGCATACACGCGGAGATGAGTCAATGTATGATGGATGCATGTCTGGATAACTCAGTGGATTTGTCATGGCGAGAAATTCTTGAACCAGAGTCTAAGCAGAATGCCTGAGGACAAAGTTCACGGAACAGGTTTTTCGGCTCACCCTCAACACTTGCACTTATATGGTGAGACTAGATAATGCGTCAACTGGAATTGATATGGTTGAGGTCACAGTTTGAGTTATGATGGGAAATTACAACAGTCTTAGTTGAATTATGCTAGATAGTTATTTGTACTTAAGGAAGCTGGAGCTACAACAAAGTAGTTCTCCAGCTTCACAATCTTATAATATTATTACAGTATTCCTCTCGCAAACCTGCTTCCTTCTAGCCATAGTACTTTGTCGACTTTCCATCTCTATAATATTCACCACTTGACCTTTCCATACACTCGGCGAACGGCGATCTCGATCTACCCTACAGCACGCCGTAACAGGATTTGAGATATTTTTGAGGCATGAGTGCTCGAATTTGAAATCGATTCATCTATTCTGTACATTTTTTCCGATATTTTGTTATAGCTAGCTATATACGCAATTCAAATCTTGATGCAACAAAAGAATAAACATAAAAAAAGGGTATATGAGTCTTGAGAGCTAATGTTACCTATATAGCTAGCTAGAAAGTTAGAAGCGATAAAAAAATATAAATTTACAGTGAGTTTCCGAGTGACAGTTCACTACGTCGCATCCCTATCTTCCAAACAAACTGCATCTCGAATTTGAAACAGTCTCAGTATGATCACCTCCCTCCTCTTTCATTCTTCGGCAGACTATAATATCTACTTGCAGTAAGGGATTGGAAAACTTCTGCTATCCCTTCTCCACTATCATTTCCCTTGCCCCTGACGGGGCCATTTTCTTATAGTTTCTCCAAGGATGCAAAGCAAGTCGACACGCTGAAAAATACTAGGACATTTCCTCTTGACCACAAATAGACGATAGTACGCTCATATTGGTAGAGCAAATTTAGGTGGCAATTTACAGCGCAAGTATAGCACAAGATCTTTGTAATATTTTAGCCGATTTTTCTTCCACAAGCTATTGGCTACGCATTCTGAAAAGTCTCTCTAGTGCTGCAAGAGTTTGATTTCGATTTCCTCCACTGGGTGTATTTTTATGAGTGACTAGCTATTAAGAGCTCCCAAGGCTGATTTGGCCAGCTTATCGGTCTTTTCATTTCCTTGGATCCCCACATGACCAGGTATCCAGCGTATTTCCATACGCTGATTGTGCCTCAGCGACAAAAACTTGTCCACCGCTGCCTGCGAGGAATAAGATCTCTCTCTTTCAAGCGCCCGGGCGACTCTTTAAATATCCAGAAGAATACAAACCGGTGAGTCTTCTTCCACCTCTATGGTAGACTCGAGCGCTTTAGTAACGCCTAAAACTTCCACGTCAAAAACCTCTGCTCCAGGAAGTAGGCCAAAACCACTTCCAGGTAGCTTGCATCCTCAGTATACCACATATCCCCAAGAAGATTGTCCAGGACCCGATTAAAATCTATCAGAAAAAGCATAGACTTTCTTAGATGGCAGGGAAGCTAAGCATCGATTTATGTTTACTAATCTAGCTCCTTTATTTTAACTGCATAAAATCGATGCTAGGGAGCCGTGCAGCAAGTTTAGCTTTCCGGGGCCTTCGGCTGTCGGAACTCGACGCACACTCATTTGTAGGCGTGTCATGTACCGTTCTGGTTGTCTAAACAAACGATTTCTTTGTCCCGATCTAAGACCTAAGCGTCTTATTGTCTCTTTCGGATCCTCGGTCGTCCGAAGGGCCAGAGGGTGCCAGAAATCCATTCTTCGCATACGAGCTGCAGACAGCAGCATCTTTTGCTGGAGAATTATCAATGCCGGGAGTATTTCCGCTTCACGATGAAGAGCGCTATTGGGGGTACTACGCCACGCTGGGAGTGCCACTCGGATAACTTTCTTTATCATTTTTTCCAGTAGATATAGATGCCAGCCTACTTCAGTGCCGACTTCTTTACCTCGCAGTGAGGTTATTCTAGTGAGAACTGGCCACCACGCTTCTGCCCCACATAGAGCTGTGCTCAGAACACATGTATGTACCGCACGAATCAAAGATCCGGGTGCTGCACCGCGTTGAACTCCGTTTATATGTCGTAAGAAATGGACTAGACGATTAGCCTTTCCAGTCCAATCCTGTATATGCTGCTTGAAGTTTAGCTGAGTATCAAGCTAGACTCCTAGCCACCGGACATGAGATGACGGTTCGATCCGGCGATATTTCACCAAGATGGAAAAGTCAGCTATGTTGATTTTCTTCCTAGGCCCTCCTCCGGTCACTAGAAGTTCTGACTTTACTGGGTCAGAATCGATCCTATGTTCTCTTGCGAGAAGGATGAGGCTATCAAGGTCATCTTGGACTGCGGAGATAGCATCCACCGCGGTGTTTCCAACTCTGATGATATCTACATCATCAGCTAAACCAAACCTACTCGTTAGACCATGATCCTCAAAAATCACAGCGATAAAAAGGATGAAAAGAAGTGGCGAGCCCTGAGGTGCTACATATTCCAGTTTCTTCTCCTCTGTGGTCCCACCACGGTATTTCACCTGGACTTTTCGTTGGCAAAGAAATGTCTGAATAAACCGGCATAAGGATCGTGGCCAGCCTTGTTATTTAAGGTGTTTGAGCAGTCGGTTGTGAAGGACTGCATAAAATGCACCTTGAATATCAAGTGTGACCATTGCTGCACACTTGCCACTATGAAAGCCGTGGGAAAGTAGGCGATTTTCAGACAAGCCTGGTAAAGATCTTTCACAAGAGGTTCTAGATGAGACTATCAGGCTTTAAGTAGACGTACCGTTATCTTTTCTGCTCCCGGTACCGTATCGTTTACAGAGACAGTGGCGCTTGTGACATAGTCCAGTGATAATTCCGTATCCCATGGAATACGCTCCTCCTGTCCATTCTCCCAGATAGAAATATCATTCTCGCCGCTAAACCTAGCCAAGAGAATGTCTCGTAGCGCACTAGCTCGCTTTCGCGGGTCAGATAGCCACCGGTTTTCGTCCATCTGCAGAGGGGGCTCAGCAGCTAGTCAAGGCTTAGCCCATCTCATGAGCTTGAATACCTGTGCGTCAGTAGTAGCTGCCTTGCTTGCCAAGATCAAGCACTGCCCTAATGGTCTATAGCCATATAGATTGTATCGAAAATAAAACAAATGAATTGTCCCATACTACTTGTCCAGGAATGTGTCGATTTTGGCAGCTGTTAGCTTCTGCTGAATATTAGCAACGGATACAGCTGCGGGGAATCTGGATGAGTTGCATCCGTATTTCGTAATCGGGCTAAGAGAGAAGTTTGCTCGTTTTTCCTGCCTTTCAATCGGAACAATCACGGTCACAGGCTATAGAGCTATAGCTGCTTGAAGGAGTTCTAGAGCGATGTTAGACGGGACCGAACGGATGTCCTTGATTATCTCTGACCGTTCTAAAAGACTTCACAGTTTCGTGCGAACAAGTAGTGCGTCTTTCTGACGTAATGGGTGGTCCGTCTCACAGGAAATGACTTAAACGAGATAGGTATGATAATATGTGGATAAGATATGGACATCTACTAAAGCGTCGCACGTCTTCCAAAGATGTGAATGAGGAATACTTTAAGGATTTCCTCACACTAGCTCGACGCTAGTTTTACTCACAATATCAACCCTCCACATTCCTAAACGAATATATTACTACAATAACTAGGCCTCCTACCATTGCTTAAGCGTGCTTCCACCCATTTATGGGAATAATGATAGAAGCTACCATAATCCGGTGCTAGGCGGGTCATGACCTTCAAATTGAACATGGGTTTACCACCGCGGGTGCAGCTTTTTATGCGACCTTGGATTGTTGATCTGGGAAGAGAAGCTTTTTTCCATCATTCTAGCGTAGCATAAGGTAGTTTTCAGATCAGGCAGAGGGCCTATTTTTGCAATGGAATTCGGTTGAGTAGAAATTGACTCCTCGAAGACTGAAAGGTAAGCAATAACCCGAGCAACGCTTCGTATCGCAATGGCTTTTAGATCTACTGCGATATCTAGAGGAAAAGCGCGCAAGTGCCGCGATCCGCAGTTTTCCAAGCCAATAATGATGAAGCGATATCGTTGTTCATGGGCGCCGAGGGGTGGCAAATTGTGCGCTATACTGAACTAGTAATTGAGTCTAGCTCACATTCAGCTTAGGTTTTGACAGCTGCGTGTACGGAGCTTGTCATAACTTTAACGAGATCTGTTTTTCATGTCTTTGAATCAAGCGGCGTCTGATTCTGCATCTGCACCTAGGCCGCGGGTATCGACACAGGAAGATTAATAATTTTTGATTCTAAATCCAAAAGCTCATCTTCTAAGTCTATGAAAACTGATTCAGCTGGAGGTTGATGTCCCTCAGCGACGACCGCCGTAATAGTTTTCTCAATTATAGTTGGAAGTGAGGGGTCGAGCTTCACGTGCAGCCAAGGGCGTGTGATAACATTTGTGGGAGATTTTCACAGGACGACTTTTTGCGCCTACCGGGAAACACGCTATTTCGCAGTTTTTAGAATGACTTATAGCTATGTTTTTAGTACTTATTTGGGATATCGATAGATAGAATAGTAGCTTCATACTTGATCCAATCCTTGGCAAGGAATATGCAAGCTAGATGATTCAATTTCAGCAGTGTATTATTTAAATGGTTTGATATAAATATTCCATCATTTTTATATTAGTTTATGTTAAACTGTAAAAGAAACTTTGAGATGTGAAAATGGTAGGTTTGATATTCAGGTATGCAGTACATCTTAAAATGTAAGCGAGACTTTCGCAAGGCTACTTACTGCATCAACGAGAAGATTTACTGCTTGACCGTTGTGCTAAATTATGTAGCTTTTGTTTGTAGAGAGTTTCAAGTTTCTTTCTGTACACTTCATTCGTATACCTAATACATTGCTACATTTACAGATGAGACCCGACAAACTAGCATGATATTTTGATTAATGGACGGAACTCAAAACTCAAACATTCGGAAGGCAACCTAGATTATCTGGCGGATTCCTTGATCATATCAAACGACGAGCCGAGCACTTTATCTATAACTTTAATTCTGCACAATTTTCCTGGCTATTCTGACCTGGTTCTAGTATGGAATTAGATTGCACACTTCTTACTTTTGTTATTTTCTGGTATAAAAATGAGAAATATTTAGTGTAAATTAACAGCCTAGTGTGGTTAATTACTTGAAGGAATAAATTGGAGGATTGATTGGAATAATTCTATCGAATGTGCCTGCTACTTGGTAAGTTTGATACTACCAAGCATGTCATCGATTTTTGGAGGCTTGGATCAATTCTCTCCCGTTTAATAAACTGACGCGCTGCATCAATTTTGGTCCCGAACTAGCGTTGTTGGGCTTGATTTAAAATAATAGTTTACGATTTTGTGTACGAAAATGTTTGATTTTTCATAAGTTTATTACCGTATTTTGCTCGACCATTGTTTATCGAATTACTTGTACTTACCACCAAGATACCGAGAGGACTTTTACCCGGAAATTATGTTATCTTGTGAACTTGATTGGAGACCTAGTATTTTGAAAATATGAGTGCGAAAGATACATTGAATAAGGTGAGCCATTACAGAAGAGCGTAAGTATTTTGTATGTTTGTTTCAGCCATTGATCGAAGAGTTGTGCTATTTTTTTGGTTATCTCTTATTTTCTGCTCAACTATGTTTTTGGTAACTATTATTCTCATCCTCCTTGAGCCAATTTAGATTGCAAAGCTCAATCACTGCAACCATGCTGTAGACTGCTTCTAGTTTGTGTCCCCTTCGGTTTTGAGCTGTTGGAAATCCGTTTATTCCGAATTGCCATTTGAGGATCAAAATTTGAGGGGAGTTGCGATAGATCAGTTGGGAATATGATGGAAAGCAGATATTTTAATTGGAATAAGGTAATTTCCAGTTTACCAGGTAGGCGCAGAATAAAAAGGACTTTTTTAGTAAGATTGATTGTTCTAATCCAATCTTAGTGAGTATATTTGCATTGTTTTTTCAAACAAAGCCCAGCGACAGGTAATAGGTTCACAAGCCATCAAGGTCAACCTAATCTGCAGTGATAATGAATCAGATGCTTGTCATAAAAGCTGGCACAATTTGCAAGTTTCTTTACTGAAGTTCCATGCCTTTGAGTAGCGGCAAGTCGCATGTCAGATTCACCATCATTATGTTTCGGTTTCCCTGGAGTAGTTTCTTTTTCGGAATACCATATTCTTTTCCAAACACAAAGATCCCCTAGAGTTTTCTTCTATTAAAGATCATGTTTGTTAGAATCCTTCTGGTGTGCGAATCGATTAGCTTCCGATTTCACGATGTCATTATTTGCTCTTGTTTGGGTTAATACCACACTAAACACAGATTTCACAGGTTCTACCATCTCGAACTACAGGTCTCGAAGGTAGTACACTCCCATCAGGGCCTATGTCTTCTGTCACTGCGCCGTGATGACCCATAGTGATTGGTTCCCATACCCATCCAAATTTCACTGCTTCTTGTATACCCTCGTACCAAACTTTTGCAATTAGATCATAGCCATAATCGTTAGGATGAACGCCGTCGTAAAGATTAACACCTGACACCTTCTGGCTCATATCTACAGTAAGAACTTTTTTTCCAACCTTTTGTCGCTCTGCAACCATTGCTGGAATTTGAGCGTTGAATGTTCTAATCATGTACTGCGCTTCAGGCGGTTCTGTAACTGGCGCAAGTTGGGCCACAATTACAACTGAGAATGGACATGTAAGTATAGCAAAATCTATGAGCGCACCAAGCCGCCATGGGGCATCTTCAGGCATATATGGTCTAGCAATATCGTTGGTGCCTGCCATCATGAGGATGACGTTTGGTTGTTGTGACAATGATGGTAACGCTTTTTTGGCTATGTCGTGAATCATATATCCGGGATGTCCTTCATTGGCGTTGTTTTCCATACTTCCAGAATGTTGTGTTCCAATATATTTGACAGAAGGGAATGTAGAGTTCAGTGATCCAAATAAGGCAGCACGATATCCATCACCACTGGTAGATCTGTAGCCGTATGTAATGGAATCACCCAGTGGAAGAATCCGCAAATTGGGTAACTGTGCTGAATCTGAAGGGTATGAAGATATTAGAGAGACAGACGAGACAGTGGCATAGCTATGATGTTTTAGGAAGCTGACTGCAATTTGCCCCGTTTTTCCCGTTAGCTTTGTGGCAGGTAATGCGTGGTAGCGACGTGCAACGAATAAAAAGAGAACAGTAAATACAACCAAGCAGGTGGCAATTGTCTTTTGAAAACTCTTCATTATGGTAAGGTGTAGGGGTCAGGAAATAAGCTGTTGAAACACTGTTGCGTTAGGTTAATGAAACGACCTGACAGCTATATTCTTGCCTGACTCACGGCAACTTGTAGATGCCTTTGGCGTGCGGATGGTTTGAGTAGAATTAAATACGGCACGCATGTAGTGTCAAGCGACGATTGGTGGTAGAAGGAATAGAATCAAGAGGTATTATGGTGCCTTAAAATCAGTATGTCGTAAGGATCGGGTAACAGGTAATTCCTAGATCGTCACGGCGGATCGTCAGCTACTGGTCAATCGGGTTTACCCTTGGCTGAGCCTTACTAATATCTAGATACTGGCACGTTGACCCAACAATCTGAAGACCCCTGAACATCAAGACATTTACTATATGCTTGACGATTTTCTTTCGGCCATATTTAAATGCCCAGCTGCCGGAGTCGTAGCAATGGCCGACTTGAACTCGGGCCAATGGCTTTCTAGACCTCACCTAGCTGCTTGCGTACTTGCGGCGATGTAAGAACGTGATCTCGGGTTCACAAATGGCAAGTACTTCTAACTATTTCTGTCATGGCTGCCGATTAATACTTTCACGTTGAATCTTGAAGTGTCTTCGGCGAACTGGCCTGCTTTTATTTCAATCCACTTTATTTAAAACGGGAAAAAATTGCTCATGAGGCGGGAGGCATCTCTCCGCTATTATTTTGCGTTAGTATCATTAAACTAGTAGCCTTAGCGTAGCCCTACTGTCCCCTCCTGGCACTAACGGGATGACCCAGCAATCCGCTTATCCCTGAGATTTAAGTGAGACATACTTTACCTTGGAGCTCTTACTGTCCAATTACAGTCAATCTGGTTAGTCATTGTTTGGCTAAGAGCTTGCCAGAACGGCACATTCTGAACCACTCCCATCGCAAACGCAATTCAACAGATGTATTCTCCTGATGATGGCGAATTAATCCACGTTACACGGTTCTGACGAAAGCATCTTCCACAGTACCAATCTTTGTGCATGAAAATTTGTTGAATGAATTGTCAACAAACTCCATCTCCTGTAATCGCAATATTAAAGTTTAACCACAACTTATCAAAGTATTCACATCCCTGTCTACGTGGAAATAGTCCAATCACCGGTTTTTTCTAGACTCCAGTTGTCGAAAATATGGAGATCGACTGTTTTCAACAGAATAGACGCCATCCCCCGCTAACCGAGGACGAAGGCTGAGAATCTATCAGTGGTGTACCTTACCAACCAGGTAGTAGAATATTTTACAAGAGATGATATGCAGTTCCGAAAAAGAGTGTAACTGATAGTTTTCAACGAGACGGCGATCGAGATGAGTGGTAATATGAAATTTTTTGGTCGACAATCCGACCTTGAGAGATTTAACATTTGCACAACCCAACTAAACCAATCTTTTAGATCTAAATACGAAACGTAGACAAGCTCAGCCTGTATGTTGTGCGTGAAAATACTTATGTCCTTCACTATTTACGACTCTCTTACAAGATTTTTCTCATGTTACAACCCTCTCCAAAGACGTCTCACCACCTGTCAGAGCTACACGCAATTCAAAACTCATACTCATTATTTTAGATATAAGTGGTCATTCATCCCGTCATAACTAACTCGCGCTGCGAAGGTACAGTTTAAGTATGGACCTTTTATTCGTCACTACCTTGTCCAAGGGCATCATTAACTCGACCTGCGATGAAATGTCAACGTCAGGATACGTACGACATTTCGCTGGCTCATCAACCAGGGCGTTCGATAAAGGCTTGGGCATCGGTGCCTCGGCCTTGAGCTCTTGGACCAATATTTAGTTTACAAGATTAGGAGTGCGGCAGCGACGGCGGAAGACCGGAGGAGTGGAGTGTCTACAAAGCTTCGAAAATGGCGATGCTGATAAAACGGTTAAGGAAAGCTACAATTGAGGAAATAAAGATAAGAATAATTGAGGAGGCCTTGGTGGGCACCTAGTTGAGGTGAGTAGAAACTGGTACGAGACATGACTGGGACTGAATAGAAAGGCAAAATTAGAGTACTAAAACGTCAAGGGCTCGGGCAGGTGATGGCAGAGTCTGAGGAGGAAATTTCGCTTCGGCGTATATTGTTAATTATTAATTCATTCTATTGTCCTGTCTGAGTCTACGACTATATAAGACGTGCAAGTCCTCTCTAACTACAGGCCAAGGGTACCTATGCCTCCCACATAGCTCCCCTCAAATAGTACCACCCCTCACAAGTCCTCATTCGATCATACACTAAGAGGAGCCCTTTGCCCTTCATAATCTCCCCTCTCCAGCCAACGAAACGTTGGCCATTTACGAGTGTTTAGGAACCGGGAAAAATCGCAAAAACCACTGGGTGCGGGGCTCTCCTAATACCGACATTAGGATTAAATCCGAAGACATAGTGACCCTTCTGATGCGTTCGATGAGGCCGGCCAGCTGGGCGCTGCAGACTTGTGTGTACCTCTTGAAATTCACGTTCTGCCTTTCTAGCCTCCTTCCCGAAGGTCGTGCTGAAATGTCAGAAAAGTCTTGACAGAGCGTGATTGCTGTATAGTTGCTTAGCCCGACTTCTTATGTACCGTCCAGGGCGCTGGGGAGTGCCATTGACTCATCGACAATAGAAGCCCTCCTGGCTAATTAGCCGAAATCTCAGTCTTGGCGCTCACAAACGTTCCAATGTTTGAAACCCCTCGAAAATGGCAGTCCCAGCATAGTCTTCGGAGACCTCTTCCCTCTCTCGCTCCGCAACTCAGTCACCTATCTTCCCTCAAGTTGTTTATCCCATTAGATCAACAGTTTCTCATGAGCCAGGGCCCAGGCTTTGTATAATTAGACTTGACTTTCTCTTTGTGGGTACAAATAGCGTCGGAAATTTGTACTAGTGGTTGATTGATAATTAATTGGGAAATCTCACGTGTGCGAGTATGACCAAGTGAATCCTTGCTTCAGTGACCACATCTCTCATCAACTCAGTCTTCGGCCTTAGCTCGACCCTAAAAACACACTCACGACGATATAAATATCCTTAGGATAACACAAACTGGTACGCACAAGTTTATTGAGGCAATCCTTTGGGATGGACGTAAAAGAGCTCTCGACAAGTGTACAAGATGATGTAAATGGTGAATATAACTGTAGTTTCATACATTTATTCATAATCATTTAGGGCATGACCCTTATCATCTATTGGCAAAAATTAAGCACAGCAATATACAACATTAATATTAACTTTAAAGCTATTTAGATAGTTTTAGCTGTCCTTCATAGTCATAGACTCTTTTTTTTTTTTTTTTTTTTGCATCAGATTTTAATTGCGTATGCAGCTATCTAGCTATGACACAATATCAAAGAAAAGTACAGAATAGATGATTCAACGTAAGGGAAGAGCACTCATGCCTCGGATTTCATTTGCAAGTACCACTGCGAAGTTATGGTGGCTTTTTCTTCTCCCCAAGTAAACCCTCATCCGTGAATACCCACCCAGGGGAACGTCTCAAAAACCCTGAGTTATCCAGACATGCCTCCGTCATCCATCAACTTTTCTCCGCGCGAAATATGATCTGAGATGTCTCCTTCCCAAGTGAAGTAGGTGCCCAGACTACTCAAACTATACCAGAGAACATCACCAGGAGGCGTATCACAACACCTTCCATCGTTTGCTTGTGTTTATAGTGTTAGCTGCACTCTCGCAAGCGAAGTCTTGGCGCGCACAAAGCCCGATTCATAAATCTCTTGCCAAAATTCAAAATGACACGCCCGTCGAGTTTGTATCCTTCCTTTGCATCATCTTGTGAACTTGTCCTAATCCCTCTCACGTCCATGCCAAAGAGCTATCTCCCAGATTTGTGCTCCACGCTTTGCTTCCTCCGTCGGGTGTAAATATCGGCGTGGGCGTGTATTTGGTGACCGGCTGAGGCCAGAGAAAGTCGACGAGAGGTGTGGTCATTGAAACGAGGATGTACTAGGTCGTACTTGTAGACTTGATGAAGCTTAGTTGAGAATCGGACTCTTTGGGAGTGAAAGATTGACATGGTGGAGTAATTTGAAATTTTGCCTCGTGGGCCAACTTCTTTGATATTGCGAAATTTGACTGAACTTGGCTCTGGAAGAATATTTCACTCCCAGGTTCGTAGAGGACACCGCGTACAGGTGTTCAGTCTTGCCCTCCATAGTCATAGACTCAGTAAGGACATAAATAAAATTCTATTCTATTCTATTCATAATCTTTAACGCTGAGCTAAGTTTTAGGTTGCATCAGTGACTGTGGCTTTGCATCACATGATTTCGGACCAATCAGATGACAGTTTGTAAGCGCAGATTGCGCAAACCGGTAGATGCAACGTGATATAAAGAGTAAATAGAGAGAACAAGTCACTCGTAAAGATTATTCCCCGTCTGGGGCGACGCGCACTAGGATATCTACTAGCTTCACGGTCCGCTCATGGCGACTTCGCGGACTACCACCGACGGCTTCAGCATGAAAACGCCATTCTAACCTGCTCATGCGGAGAAGAGAAGTCCCCCAATCACTTTTTCTATTGCCATCTCGGACAATACCAAGCTCAGCTCCACAGGGCACAGAACTCTAATCCCAGCGTATCCTGGGCACTTGCTTCGGCGGAGGGAGTTGATGCATTCAATGATTAGGTGCGTGTCACAGATTTCTTCGAAAGGGCACAACGAACAGTCTGATTCGAACGAAATCATGATCTTTTGTAAACAATCTTCTCCTTTTATTTTTTATTCTGTTTTGTAAAATCTTTTCTTGATTTAGTACCAACGGCATAGCATGAAATTCGTTGGACGGACGACCTTCATGTACACTATAATCTTCGAGCATAGGATGATAAAATCCTAGCTATTGTTTGCTTTGGTGGGTCTGTGAGGGCGCCAACACGTCGGGTAGTTTAATTTAGACTGGGTTAACCGGTACGTGAGGAACTCACGTGCTGTGCGCGGGCACGACGTTAAAAATTATAAATAAATAAATA